TATCAACTTGATTGAGAAGATCAAAAGAACAGGAAGTGATATGGGCGGAGGGAGTCACGTGATTGGAGTGGAAATCACGTGACGCGGAAGTGACGCGACGTCAGAATCACGTGACCGGAATGAAGGTCACGTGACGCGGAAGTACAGAACGCCAGTAAACGACGGCAAATTGAACTCCAAGGCTATTTAAAGAGAGGAAGATCATTATTGACCACACACTTTGACAAAGACATGGAGGTCGAAACGCGTTAGTGCTGTGGACTTTTTTACTAAATAGTAGTTTTTATTGTTTTTTATCTGTATGATGATTTATGCATAGTAAAGTTTATATATTTTAACCCATTGGATATCCTGAAAATTATTTGAAGGACCAGAAAGGAGTAATCCTGGTGGAGAAAGCTGGAATAAGCTTATTATTCATCCGCTATTGAAGCCAGAGCCAGCTTTATGTGGCTCTGTGTATGTGAGTGACCCAATACCTTTGAATTGATTATTCCTACTTTATATAACAGTATTATACTATGTATGTTTTTACTGTCTTTATTATAGTATAATCAGGAGGTGATTTACTCACTACAGTAAATATACAGTAAAGTATTGTACATGCTATTTGCACCCCCCTATATTCTCTTTTTCCCACTTTGTATTTGAGTGCCATTTGAGTGATTTTGGGCACTGGTTTTTTTTGCTATTGACGGTGTGAAGCGCCAATCCACCAATCTTTCTTGCTGTGTTTGTATTCTAGAGATGCAACATTGTGTCATTAACGCCAAAGAGGCATTTATTAATTGGTTGCCTGTAGTGTTACAATATTGAGGGTTAAGTGATAGAGTAAAAAGATGGAGAAAATGGGAGAAGAAAGAAGGAGAGGAGGGGAAGAGGTCACAGTAGAGCTGGGGAAGGAGAAAGAAGGTATGGGAGAAGTGAGGGGTAGAGCAGATGTACGTAATGTTTGCAGAGAAAGATGGAGGAGGATGCGTACCAGCGATAGAGAGGGGAGCAAGTACATGCAAAGCATAATACGTGTATATTATGTAATCAGGTCAATATTCAGATTTTACTGTAGTTCGCCACTCAAGTCAAGTGTTCTACTACTCGGCCTGGTTGTAGCACTCCATGTCCTCTTGGGCAGGTGTAGTGTTTCCTACAGGTACAGGGACTGCCAGGATTGCATTGCATATGGGGGAGCATCTGTATTCTTTTTGTCGTTCAATTCCCAGTTTGTGTCTATTGTGGGTGTCTAGAAAACAAAGGTTCCAGACTTGCAAATGTCTAGATTTCCTCAGATCTGTACGTTGTCCCAGAAGTTTGCCAGAGACCGTTAGTCCTGATCAGGAGTAGCGCCGAAGCAAAGGATGCTGTTCACTGATTGAAGTTCTGCCGGATAGTATGTATTGTAGCCCATTAGCTGGTGATGCGATCCAAATATATATTCATCATAATAGGGGTTGCAGGATTCCTTTGACAGTGGGCCGGTAAACGGACAAGGTATGGGTGGTGTAGTGGCTGGTGGAGGTTGTGTAGATTCCACAATGTAGAATTTAGAGAGTTTTTCCATATTTGTTTTTAAAGGGACACTATAGTCACCAAAACAACTTTAGCTTAATGTAGCAGTTTTGGTGTATAGATCATGCCCCAACAGTCTCAATGCTCAATTCTATGTCATTTAGGACTTAAACCACTTTGTTTATAAACCCTAGTAACACCTCTCTGCATGTGACTTGCACAACCTTCCTAAACACTTCCTGTAAAGAGTAATCTAATGTTTATCCTTCCTTTATTGCAAGTTCTGTTTAACTTAGATTTTCTTATCCCCTGCTATGTTAATAGCTTGCTGGATCCTACAAGAGCCTCCTACATGTGATTAAAGTTCAATTTCCAGAGCAATAGATAAAATTGTTGAAGATAAATTACATCTGATTGAAAGTGAAACCAGATTGACTACAATCCTCTGTTGCCTATCACTCAGCCACTGCCTTACCCATTCAACAATATTCGAATCCAAACTTAAAGATTGCAGTTTATTGATCAGCCTTCTATGTGCAACAGTGTCAAAAGCCTTACTGTAATCTAGTCAAGCAATGACCCTGATCTATTATTTTAGTTACCCAATCAAAAAATCAATATGATTAGTTTGGCATGATCTCCCTGAAGTAAACCCATGTTGTCTCTGATCTTGAAATCCATGTGTTTTTAGATGTTCAACAATCCTTTCCTTTAACATGGTTTCCATTACTTTCCCCACTACTGAAGTAAGGCTTACTGGCCTATAGTTGCCCGACTCCTCCCTATTACCTTTCTTGTGAATGGGCACAACATTCGCTAACTTCCAATCTTCTGGGACTACTCCTGTTAACAATGATTGGTTAAATAAATCTGTTAATGGTTTTGCTAGTACACCACTAAGCTCTTTTTTTTTTCACTGTCAGAATTAATTTCAGTTCAGTTGTTGTTTTTTTGTTTTGTTTTTTACAAGCCAAGGCAATATTGTTACAGTACACAATAAGGAGCTTTTAACATACATTTTTTTTTTTTAAAGACTTTATTTTGCCTTGACAGATTAACATTGCAGTTACATATTTCGTGGCTTACGCAGAAGCCTTTAACTATCCGTGTAGCTGTTATAGTACATACAATCTGAATATCAGTAAAGTTTGCTATTTGGTGTTATTCAGGTGGTCAGCATTATTGTTCTGTCTGTGTTTGTAACATTCATATAAACAGTAATTGTGGTGGTTATTACCAAGAAGCCCAAATAGTAAGATAGGTAATAACAAATACAAAAAGTAAAAATAAACTATTATCTTGCCTAATGGTCTTGCCTAATGGTCGCTGTCTCCAGGGCAGGTAGATGGAAGGGCATCGCTATCATTTTAGATAGGTTTATCTTGTAGCCCGAGATTTCTCCGTAGTGTGTTATGAGGGTCAGTAGGTGAGGCAGGCTCTGGATCGGGTCTGAGAGGGTCAGCAGCACATCGTCTGCATATGCTGAGACTTTAAAGGGCTTATGTGCTATTTCCACCCCTCTAATCCCTGGGTGCTGCCTTATTGCAATTAGCAGTGGTTCCAGGGTGAGCGCAAAGAGCAACGATGAGAGTGGGCATCCCTGTCGTGTACCATTGTGCAGGGGGAAAGTGGTCGTCTATGCACCCGGGATGAGGGTTTGGGCCTGGGTGTTCGTGTAGAGTGCCCTAACAGCAGTGCCAAATGGCTCAGGGAAGCCTAGTCTGTGCAGTGTTTCAAATAGGAAGGGCCATTCGACTTTGTCGAAAGCCTTCTCAGCGTCTAATGACAGCGCCAATGAGGGCTTTCCAGTTTCCGTCATGTACCATAATAGGTCCGTGCTACTTCGGGTATTTTCGAAGAGTTGTCTCCCTTCCATTGGGAATTTTCAAAGAGTTGTCTCCCACCACTAAGCTCTTTTAATAACTTTGGGTGTATTCCACCAGGTCTCATTGACTTATTTGTCTTTACTTTTGACAGTTGAAATAGAACCTCTTCCTCTGTAAACTCACATGTAACAAATTACTCATTGTCCTTTTTCCTAACTGAGGCCCCTTTTCTTCATTATCATCTGTAAATACAGAACAAAAATATTAATTGAGGCAGTCAGCTAGACTTTTATCCTCTTCTACATACCTTCTTTCTTTTGTTTTTAATCTAACTAATCCTTGTTTTACTTTACTTTTCTCATTTATGTATCTAAAAAATGTTTTGTCCCTTCTTTTACTGACTGCTATTTTCTCTTCTGTGTGTGATTTGTAAGCTATTATAACTTGCTTAGCCTCTTTCTGCCTAATCTTATAGTTCATTCTGTCTTCCTCACTCTGGGTTTTTTTTATAATTACTAAATGCTAACTTTTAGTTTTTTACTATTTTGGCTACATCTGCAGAGCACCACAGTGGTTTCTTGAATGTTTTACTTTTACTGACAAGCCTAATGCACTTTTCTGTTGCCTTCAGCAGTGCAACTTTTAAATAATCCCATTTCTCTTGGACTCCATTTAAATTGCTCCAGTCTGATAATGACTCCTTTACACATATTCTAATTTTAGAAAAGTTTGTTTTTCTAAAGTCTAAATCTTTTGTTTTTGTGTGGTGTGACTCAGTCACTGTTCTTATATTAAACCACACTGACTGATGATCACTGGATCCTAAATTTTCACCTACAGTAATATCTGATAACAAATCTCCATTTGTTAACACTAAATTGAGTATGGCCTCCTTACGAGTTGGCTCCTCAATGACTTATTTTAGAGACAATACCAGTAGGGAGTTTAGAATATGTGTGCTCCTGGCACAAGCAGCTATTTTGGTTTTCCAATTCACATCAGGAAGATTAAAGTCACCCATGATGATAACTTCCCCCTTTTTTGTAATTTTAGCTATTTCCTCAACTAGTAGATTATCTAACTCTTCTATTTGTCCTGGGGCCCTATAAATCACACTTACACAAGTTACTGTGTGATTAACAAATTCTAACGTAACCCAAACAGACTTTATGTTCACCTCACTAACTTTTATTTGGCAAGATTTTATGCTATCCTTCACATACAGGGCCACCCCACTCCCTTTCTTGCCTTCCCTGTCTTTTCTATATAAAGAGTACCCTGGTATTGCTCTGTCTCAGTCATTTTTCTCATTATACCATGTCTCAGTAACAGCGACTAAATCTACATTATCAGTTGCCATTATTGCCATAAATTCATGGATCTTATTCCCTAAGCTGCGAGCATTTGTAGACATGACTCTAAGCTTATCATTTTTTAACACACTTGCTAAAGGCACCTTCTGTCCTTGTTTTGGGGGGCAATTGGATTCATGTTTTATCACCCTTTTGCCCCCCCCTCCTAGTTTAAATACATCCTAGCAAAACCTCTGAACTGCTCACTGAGAACATTTGTTCCCTTTTGAGAAAGATGCAAACCATCTTTTTTGTACAGTTTATTTCCATTCCAAACAGAGCTACCATAAGAAATAAAGCCAAATCCTTGCTCCTGACACCATTCACCAAGCCACAAGTTAAAGTCCCTAATACGCATCCGCCTGTCATTCTGAGTGTTATGCACAGGCAGAACTTCAGAGAATGACAATGTGGAAGCAACCTGCTGTAAATCATTGGAAAAAATGCTAAAAACTTCCTTTACCTCTGAAACCTCATTGCAAGCCAAGTCATTTGTCCCTAGATGGACAAGTACATCCAATTCTCCTTCCTGCTTTGCTCGCTTAACAACATTACAAATACGTCTCCTGTCTCTGTGAGCAGTAGTTCCGGGAAGACATCTCACAAGACCACCATTGTCCATCTCCACATCTCTAATGATAGAATCCCCCACAACAACAGCTTTCTATTAGGTCTCACCATAGTCTCCAACACCACTACCCTCAGTACCTGAGCCTGTCTCCACAACACCACTACCCTCAGTGCCTGAGCCTATCTCCAAAACACCACTATCCTCGGTGCCTGAGCCTGTCTCCACAACACCACCATTTTGACCGGGCTGTGAGCATCCTCTGATCAGGTGTAGTGTTCCAGAGTGCTGGGTGGAAAGTCCTGGTCACTTTTAATGTCATTGTATGGAGTCAGTACATGGAGCTCCATCAAGTCCTTAGTGTTGTTTGATGCCTCACCTCTTCCTCTATGACCCCTCCAAATAGTGTTTGGTGGTCCTAGGGCCAAGAGCGACCTTGATGAAGTTTGACCGGAACGATGGCGTGGTCTGATCTAGAGTTCGAGGAAGTTTGTAGGTCATTTCTGAATAAGCACGCTGTGACTATACAAGTTTACCGCTAGTCTCTGGGCCGCTGTATGGGTGCATTAGGTTGGGAGGCACGGTCTGGAGGGGGTATTGCTAGAGAAGGTGGTGGCTTGGAGCCATGTACATGTGCTGGCTGACTGGGTGGTCTGTCACAGTCTGGATGGACAAAATTCTGTGAAAATGACTGAATTCCACATTCATTGACAATTATCATTTGTACTAAAACCAAATATGGTCAGAATTCAGTATCCTAAAGCGAACTGCAGCAAGTGCATGGATGTATTTGGTATCCGGATTAAAATCTGTGCTTCTGCAAAGTATACAAAGTATAGGATTTGGAAAATTTGCAAAGCACCAATTTAAAATAAAATAAAAACTGAATGCATCTGATAGAATGCACTTTCTGGCCTTAGCCACTGCTGATTGACATTGCATATTGCAGCCTAATTTGTTGTCTATGACAATTTTTAAATCCTTCTCTTGTGTTGTTATCCCTAATTTAGGGTGTAAGTTGCTTGTGCATTGTTTACCCCAAAGTGCATAACTTTGCATTTGTCTACATTAAATTTAATCTGCCATTTTAGTACCCAGTCCCCCAATCTATCTAAATCCCTCTGCAGCAAAGCAATATTCTGCTCACATGTTACTACTTTACAGAGTTTTGTGTCATCTACAAACATTAAAACGTGGCTATATAAATATGTTAAACAGAAGCCGTTCCAGAACAGAACCCTCTGGGACACCACTTACCACTTTTGTCCGGCTTGAAAATTTACCATTAATGACAACTCATTGTATTCTATCCTTAAGCCAATGTTTTACCCAAGAACAAGAGTATTCATCTAGACCAATTTCTTTTGAACACTAACCTATATTGAGGAACTGTATCAAATGCCTTGGCAAAATCCAAGTAGATCACATCCACTGCAACACCTCATAAAACCATGCTGATAATTGCTAAGAGTTCTTCCCAATGAATTCCTGAATATTATCCCTTAAAAGCCCTTTAAATACTTTCCCAGTCAAAGAAGTTAAACTCACAGGTCTATAATTTCCAGGCAAGGATTTTGACAAAGTTTTATGGACTGTAGTTTTCAAAGTACAAGCTAATGACAATGCTTACAACTTCACTTAATGATGTGTGAAATCCAGTGTAGACTAAAATACTGAACACATTGCTGTTTCACATTAATACACATGTATTCTGGAAACCTTAATAAACACAAAAATTTAAAATGTTGTGAAATACAAGTTATAATGTATGCAAAAACCTAGATGTGAGAAATGACTTAAAAAAGTTAAAATATAATGGTTGCAAAAGTGTAAGAGGGAATACAGGGAGTGCAGAATTATTAGGCAAATGAGTATTTTGACCACATCATCCTCTTTATGCATGTTGTCTTACTCCAAGCTGTATAGGCTCGAAAGCCTACTACCAATTAAGCATATTAGGTGATGTGCATCTCTGTAATGAGAAGGGGTGTGGTCTAATGACATCAACACCCTATATCAGGTGTGCATAATTATTAGGCAACTTCCTTTCCTTTGGCAAAATGGGTCAAAAGAAGGACTTGACAGGCTCAGAAAAGTCAAAAAATAGTGAGATATCTTGCAGAGGGATGCAGCACTCTTAAAATTGCAAAGCTTCTGAAGCGTGATCATCGAACAATCAAGCGTTTCATTCAAAATAGTCAACAGGGTCGCAAGAAGCGTGTGGAAAAACCAAGGCGCAAAATAACTGCCCATGAACTGAGAAAAGTCAAGCGTGCAGCTGCCACGATGCCACTTGCCACCAGTTTGGCCATATTTCAGAGCTGCAACATCACTGGAGTGCCCAAAAGCACAAGGTGTGCAATACTCAGAGACATGGCCAAGGTAAGAAAGGCTGAAAGACGACCACCACTGAACAAGACACACAAGCTGAAACGTCAAGACTGGGCCAAGAAATATCTCAAGACTGATTTTTCTAAGGTTTTATGGACTGATGAAATGAGAGTGAGTCTTGATGGGCCAGATGGATGGGCCCGTGGCTGGATTGGTAAAGGGCAGAGAGCTCCAGTCCGACTCAGACGCCAGCAAGGTGGAGGTGGAGTACTGGTTTGGGCTGGTATCATCAAAGATGAGCTTGTAGGGCCTTTTCGGGTTGAGGATGGAGTCAAGCTCAACTCCCAGTCCTACTGTCAGTTCCTGGAAGACACCTTCTTCAAGCAGTGGTACAGGAAGAAGTCTGCATCCTTCAAGAAAAACATGATTTTCATGCAGGACAATGCTCCATCACAAGCGTCCAAGTACTCCACAGCGTGGCTGGCAAGAAAGGGTATAAAAGAAGAAAATCTAATGACATGGCCTCCTTGTTCACCTGATCTGAACCCCATTGAGAACCTGTGGTCCATCATCAAATGTGAGATTTACAAGGAGGGAAAACAGTACACCTCTCTGAACAGTGTCTGGGAGGCTGTGGTTGCTGCTGCACGCAATGTTGATGGTGAACAGATCAAAACACTGACAGAATCCATGGATGGCAGGCTTTTGAGTGTCCTTGCAAAGAAAGGTGGCTATATTGGTCACTGATTTGTTTTTGTTTTGTTTTTGAATGTCAGAAATGTATATTTGTGAATGTTGAGATGTTATATTGGTTTCACTGGTAATAATAAATAATTGAAATGGGTATATATTTGTTTTTTGTTAAGTTGCCTAATAATTATGCACAGTAATAGTCACCTGCACACACAGATATCCCCTAACATAGCTAAAACTAAAAACAAACTAAAAACTACTTCCAAAAATATTCAGCTTTGATATTAATGAGTTTTTTGGGTTCATTGAGAACATGGTTGTTGTTCAATAATAAAATTAATCCTCAAAAATACAACTTGCCTAATAATTCTGCACTCCCTGTAATTCAGGCCTAAGGGAGATTGCTTACACAGGTAATCAAAATGTACACCCATAAAATAGTTCTAAGAAAAAATAGACACATTGAGACATTTTTTTCATAATGGTTTTTATTAATATGCAAAACATTGACCTACTTCCTTATTGACTCCCAGCTAATTTATCATTGGTATTTTAAATACACTTACTCATTCTTGAGCTTCATTCTATACTAAACTTTCTTCAGCTATTTCATATATTGGGAGGTCTAAAGTATGTGGTCTAAAGTACTAAACATGGGACAATCACCATGGGCACATTACACTGACTTGGTTTACATTTTTCACTGCTTTTTAGGACAGAACGCTTTGATACATTTCCCCCATTGCACTGTTCTTCATTTCAATAGCTTGAACTTACTTTTTTATGTGAACTGTCTTTATTCTCTTTTTTACTATCTTCAAATATTTTGGCTTATCCCAGTGGTTCACAAACTGTGTGCCGCGGTGCCCTGGGGCGCTGTGACAGGCACACTGGGGTGCCACAAAATGTTTCCCTGGTGCTATGATTTTAGCACCTGAAAACATTTATTCTGAACAGGTGCCCGTCGGGTGCCCCTGTGGTGTTTTTCCGGCAAAGAGAAATTGACAGACTGTCACTTCCTCCCAACTTCGTGCAGGGAGACAGCGCAGGAGAGCGAGGAGGCAGCCACAGCATGAGGGGAGAGGAGCACTCTAGACTCTTCACTCCCACCAGCCAGCAGGACCAGGAATCCAAGTCACCCTCCTTGACACACAAGGTAAGCTAACAGGAGGGTTGCTAGAGATATAAAGAAAAATCACTTGTGTGTGTGTATGTGTCAGGGGGTGTGTGAGTGTGTGTGTATGTGTGTGTGTGTGTGTGTCAGGGTATGTGTGAGTGTCTGTGTCAGGGTGTGCTTCTGTGTGTATATATGTCAGTTTGCTTCTGTGTAAGTGTGTGTGCCTGTGTGTGTTCTCACATCTGTGTGTCAGGATGTGCACCTTTTTGTCAGTGTGTGTATCTGTAAATACAATTCCTAAGTGTGAGTGTGTGTCTCTGTGTCATGATGCTGCATGTGTCATGTTTGTGTGTGTCAGCGTGCGTGTGTCTGTGTGTCAGAGTGTTTGTGTGTGTATATGTTGGTGCATGCGTGTATGTGTGTGTATGTGTCAGTGTGTATCTATGTGTGTTTATGTGTCGGTGTCTATATGTATTTATATGTATATGGTGTATAGTGTATTTATATGTATTTGTGTGTTAATGTGCATGTATATCTGTGTAAGTATGTATGTGTGTACGGTAGTGTATGTGCATACATCCAAGCAGTCAAACACCAGCACAACATACAAATGCATTTCTGCAATCTAACAGAAATATTACATACATTCACACCCCTGCATTCAAACTCCAAAAGGATATACAAACACACCCCTTCACTCAAACACAAATATTAAATTCAAACCCACCCCTGTATTAAAATACTAAAACTATATACAAGCACCCCTTTAACCCTTTAAGGACCAGACTTCTGGAATAAAAGGGAATCATGACATGTCACACATGACATGTGTCCTTAAGGGGTTAAACACCAAAACTATACATTACACTATAGCGCCAGTAAATGCTGCAGCGCTGTACATATATACAACTTAGAAGTTTTGACTTGGGGTGCCTTGGAAAAATATTGAAATATTAACGGAGCCTTGAACCTAATACGTTTTGAAACCACTGGCTTATCCAATATGTTAAGAAATCTAAATATTTTTATACTCACAGGCTTATAATATTTAAAATAAAAATATATTTGTTTTGTTAAGTATTGTGCTAGTGTTCTATAGCCTTACAATATCATTCTACAAGCCTTCTCTGTACCTTGACCTCATCCATTATATCCCCCTTTAGTAATTTATAAGTCCCCTTATAAAGTCACCAAATTCAAATGTAACATTTTATACTATTTAATTATTGACTCTAGTATCTAGTGGCATTTATCTATATTATTTAAAAGAAGGATATTGTGTGTCTGTATGAATAATCAATGTTAAATGTGACAAAAGTTAAAATAATTTCTCAGGGTAATAAATGAAATCACTCTAATGTAGTATCAATCACAAATACCATGGAGATTTAATGAGAAGTGATTATTTATTAGAAAACAAAAACATACATGGCAATTGTTCAGATCAGAAAATGTGGATAAGCATAGTGCAAAATAATGCAACATTTTATTCACATACCTGAAAAAAAACAGGGGGACAAGCAAAATATATATTTATTTTTTAAAGGATAGCTGGACGCATTTCGCACCTACTAATGAAGATTCCTCAGAGGCACCTTTTCTTTCTTTTCAGCTGACAGCATGGTTAGTGCTTAATGCTTATTATACTTACTTTTTATAATTAGTTCCAACTTTGTTTAAATCCTGTTGCAAAGTGATGGAGAAGTGTTCTGTGTTCAGTTGTGCTTCTTAAGGATCTCTTTATATTGCTTTGATTCTTTGTTTTTTTTTACCTTTTCTTATGGGACTTTGACTTTCCATGATATTTTAGTGGGTGTCCATTGATTAGATGGAGCACATAATAATTATTAGGCAAGTTATCAAACTAATTTTTTTCTTGTAGCTGCAGTGCTTTCCATAGGGACAGTCTGATGAATACTTTAGTATATATTATGTTACAATTAAGGAATGGGTTACAGAGTTAATTTTTAAATTGAGAAATGCCATCAACAAGCTAATGCCATGAACAGGATTTGGGTTCCAACCACAACCAAGAGCGACTGTCTCTTCATTTCTTGAAAATGCATAATAAAGATCCTAAAGGGTTAAAGTTTTGAGGTTTTGAAAAAATTTTTATATAAATAAATTTTATATATAAATTTTATATATAAAATTAGGCCGACAAGAAATGAGGACAAACATTAAAACCAATAGGATTAAATGGGGATTTTAAACTTTTTCATTTTTTATAATTTTTTTATAGTTTCCTATCTCCTATACTTCTGTTAGGTGTATTTATATTTTTTAGGTATATTATTTTTAGGTGTACTTTTTAAAGTTTAATATCTTTAAAAATATGTTTTCACGTATCGAGCTGTAGGCAATCCTAGCAGTGTGTTTACCATTATATCCCCTGTTGAGTTTACAGTTACCCCTGTCTGTATTTATTTGGAGTGGGTGCTCTAGGTATATCACTACTTACCATTATGTTCAGATGTTGTATATATATAAAGGACTGGCTTTCTCTAGTATTAGCAAAATTTACCTACGTAAATTTACAAAATGTGCAAATCACTTACAAATGCATGACAAATTACTATTTAAGCGGTACCTACCCCCATCTCGCTTACATAAGATATAGCCAACCACCTCTCTGATTTGTTGGGGGTGCGAAGTAGAGACGGGTGCATTTACATGTTTGGTGCACTTGCCCCCAAATTCAATCCTACAGGGAACAAGTTTAACAACTTCTACAGTCAGTGGGTGAAGTTCAGGTCTCTATTTCACCAGATTATTTTTTTGCTTCTGCATGTCCCTCCAAAGATACCTGAAGTGATGCATGGCTTATTCCTACACATATTGATTGTGCCTCATAGAATGAGAGCAAAACTTCATGGCTTCCTACCTGACCTCTTTCACTTCTTCTGAAATGACCCTTTGGAAGCAATGTCAGGAATATAGCAATACCAGATTGATAGACTATGAAGCTTTGCCAATTTCTTCACGGTGAGGAGTGTCGAGGGGAATCTGGGGAAGGACCAGGGAGGATAAATATGAGCTGTCAGATGGATGGTCCTGCGTGTAGTTCGGCTTTATTTTACCTTGTGCTGTTTTACTTTCTTTTAAACCATACCAGTATACCATGCTATGTATTTGATCAATACCCACATGCAGGTCAATATGTTTTTTTTTCCGTTCGAGAACTTACAGCACCATTGTGCTACCATCAATAGCAATGGAATGTATGCAGGTGAAGAACTAGAGTTCCACCACACAGGTTCACAGAAGCAGGGTAGAAAATAAATAAATAATAATAATAGTGCATATGTAATGTATTTAGTTACCTTTGGTGTCAGATAGCCTCAGCTAGCTGCCAGGATGTCTGAAGGGATTAGGAAATGTACCTAACAAGCCATTTTAAGATGTATAGCCAGCACAGTAGGAGGTGGGACTGAGTCAACAGTGTCACATCCTGCCTATCGTAAGCTTAAAGTAATCTGGTCAACGAGACCCATGGTGTTGCCAGAGCTAGCTCTGACCATGTCCACACTGTAATCACTGTATCTGCATACTTCTTCCTATGTTATGCGAACATGTGTGTCATACCTGTAAATGTAGAAAAAGCTGTGTGCTCATGATATAGATCCAATGCGATCTTTGGTATATTCAAGGGAGCCCAAATTCATATTTCAAGTGCACTTGGAGCGTGAATTCAGACACCAGACACCTGTTGGTAATCAAAATAAGCCTCTGTTGTTTATTTTTCATTATGTGTTTTTATACATTAAAAAGTAAGTGCAAATAGTCATAGGACAGTAGTAGGAATGGAGTGAAAGGGTGAAAGGAGTACAGATAAGACATAGGGATGAATGATATGTACATATAACAGATAAGTTCAGAGAAAGAGAAAGAACAGACTGATTTATGAGAGACAGCACAGGTAGGGGCTTTCTGCTCCCGGAACTAGAAATATATGGTCTTAAGTGTCGTTTTAAGCATTAAGCATTTCCTGAGTTCAAGTTAGCCAATTTTAATATAGGATATCTAATATGACACCTATAAGCTTCAACCTTGGAATCAAAGTAAATTCTTTCACACTCATACAATAAAGCAGTTCATTTTGGAGTTCACTTTTATATCAAGAAGAAGCTTCCTCGTCTCTTTCTGTGTTGTAACTATCTACGGTCTGTAATAGTGCGTTTAATCATAGGAGAATTCCTAGTTTTAGGTAGATAGCATATCCTGTAATACCAAAAGCAACTCTGCAAAATATCCTGCATTGACGGGGGTCTAGCGACTCAAGTACCAAAGTCCTAGTGCTCAGGGTAAAAGTTCACCAGCCGAGCTAGCAGAAGTTACCACAGGAAATATAACGTCTGAACTGTTTCGCCTTCAGTAACCGTATAGAACCGTATACCTTCCAACTAAATCGTCAGCTAGGAGAGACGCTGTGTTTGTTAGCGGGAAAAGTACAGGCTAATGCAAAGAATCCAACAGGCAATACTAGGCCTGAACTGGTCCACTTTCAGGGCCAGAGACGCCAGCGCCATATCGCCACAGCGATCAACTACTATTCTTAAAAGAGGAGCTCTGGAACAATTAGGAAGTTGAATGCAGGGGAATGCAGGAATATCCTGTTATGTTTTGTACAATATGAAGAAGCATCGTGTAACCAAATGTATTGCGACCTAAACCTTTTTATATTTTGTAACCTAAACCTTTTTACAATTTATTTACCATCTGCTTCAGTTAGTTCCTTTATGTTATGTCTCATCAAGGAACTCAATAAACCTCAAGTTTTAAAATGTTTTAAATCCACTTTGAATTAATTTTGATTTCACACTATTTTCCCTTCTCTTCCCATGTATTAGAATATATTCTAATGTTTAATATAAAAATTGCATAATGGCTCCTAATTGGGTCTCATTTTTACCTTTGCCTGCATCCTTCATGTGCTCGAAATGTGTGTTAAAGCACAAAAGTTGCTTTGGAGGCAAATTCGCAAGTTTACAAACTACAACACATACAATGCAGATGGTGGCATCTAGTGTACATCAATGATATTGCACAAGTGGATAAGACTATGCAATATAAATCAGAATTGAATTCTAAAATAAAAGCTTAATAAGGTTAAAAAATACAAAATGTATGCAGAAGTCTTTTGCTTCCACAGCTTATGACACTAAGTATGTTTGTTATATTTGTTAAAAGCAACGTTTATACTAATGTGGGGCATTAAATATAATGAAGAAACCAGGGGTCATAAAATTAGTAACTTACCCATAGCACACTGTCAGATTGAACAAGGGATAAACTGCATTCCATTTTATAATGATTTACTTTGAATAGCTTAAATTTCAAATCTAAAGTACAAACTGTTGGCGCTAAAAAGTATTCTTCTTGTTGACGGTTTATGGCTTAGGGGAACATAGGCTCACGGTGGATTGTAACTACTATCACCTGGCTGAGAATTATGAGGAAACATATTCCATGGCCTGAAGACTGGTACCACCAATTCTAAGTCCCTCTTAGTAAATCCCTCCAACTTTAAATTCTATTATTTATATACTATATATGTAAAGAGGAAGGGAAGGAAAAAAGAGGACTCTGTAGGAAATAAAGTATTTTATAGAACACAGACATGGAAGTCTTCCTTGCTCTTTCATTTATAACTCTTTTTCAGAGCTCCATGTTTTACTACATTGTTGCCATGAAACTGTTGTTAACTTGGCTTGCTTCCTCAATTCCAACTCTCTCCTCGACCTCGTCAATCTGGCTTCCGCCCTCTCCACTCTACTGATACCACTCTAATTAGAGTTATTTAATATAATCACAGCTATATCCAAAGGCCACTACTCCATACTAATTATTTTTTACCTCTCTGCCACCTTTGACACTGTTGATCAAGGCCTCCTTCTCCAAACTCTTCAATTCCTCAGTCTCTCTGACACAGTCCTCTCTGAGCTCTCCTAACTCTCCCAACATTCATTCAGTGTCTCCTTTTCCAATGACTTATCCTCCCCTCATCATGTCTCATTTGGAGTCTCCCCAGGCTCTTTTCTTGGACACCTTTTGTTCTCTTTTTATACTGTCTCTCTTGACAAACTTATTAATTAGTTTAGATTCCACTACCACCTGTATGCTGATGACACCCAAATATATTGTTCCTCCCCTGATTTCTCCCCCGCTGTCCTACAACTTGTCAGTGCTGGCATTTCTTCTATCTCTGACTGGATGTCCTCCTGCTTTCTGAAACTCAATCTCTTCAAAACTGAGCTTCTCCTCAAAATACCCTCCCTGCAAGTTGATGGTACTTGCATCAGCACATCCTTCCAAGCTTGCTGTCTTAGTGATGTATTTGATTCTGGCTTCTTTGTACCTCATATCCAGTCTGTTGCAATAACCTGTCGATTCCACCTGAAAAACATTGCCTGCGCCCACTCCTTTCTTACACAAAATGCTGCCATGGAGCTTGTTTATGCTCCACTAATCTCTTGCCTTGATTGCTGTAATTCTCTCCTAACTGGTCTTTCCAGAAGCTGTACTGCCTGCTACAATCTGTAATGAATGCTGCTCCTGTAGCTCTTCTCACACCTCACCCCTCTGTCGATCCTTACACTGGCTTCCTGTGTTGTATAGGTTTTAGTTCAAATAACTAACCCTTACTTTTAAATCTCTAAACAATTCTGACCCTTGCTATATTTCTTTTCCATCTTTCCGCTCTACCAGCGACTGTTTCCTGTTCGCTGCTTGCACCCTTACTGCTAATTTGCACTTGCAGGACCTTTAATGGTGGGCTCTTTTCCTCTGGAACAGCCTGCCTACCCCCATGAGACCTTCTAGTCTTCAGTCATTTAAAAAGTCCCTCAAAACCTATCTTTTTGGAAACTGCAATAATTACTACTGTAGGGTTAAGGGACATGGAACATTGCACACAGTCCACTTCAATTAGTTTTTCCTGCGACCTATCCTGCATACTGCAATTTGCCTGACTCTTCAGTTACAATTGGTACCATTTTGGGCTCCAATCATCTGCTGTACCTAATAACTGTTACCAGCTCCCACTGTAAGTCTCGCGGTGTGACTGCCGCTCGCAGCATTGCCATGGTAACCCGTGGCAATGCTCTGACCCCGCGGCTCTCGCAAGACTTACAGTGGAGCTGACCGGAGCGCAGGGGAAGGGAGCTGACAGGAGCTGCAGGAAAGATAAGTTACAGCTCTCTGCCAGCCCCCAACAGGACCGCCGGGCTTGTAATGAGCCCAGCGGTCCTGGTCTGTATTATGGCAATGTAAATTGCCATAATACAGACAGTGACTCGAGTATAAGACGAGTGGGGGTTTTTCAGCAGAAAAAAATTGCTGAAAAACTTGTCTTATACTCGAGTATATACAGTAATTGATTCCTGTGCCTTAGTGTATTAACGGGTCTGTAGCAAAACAGAATGTGTAGCTAAATAAATACTTGTATTTGTACAATTGTCTTTATTAATATTTACAAATAATTTACAATTACCCATAAGGGGTCAAAATACCATACTTTCAATTGGAAATGATAAAAATAAGGAAATGAAGGGAGAGCTCATGGCTAGGCAAGTTTGAGGCTCTGCTCTTTACATAAAGGGGGACTGGATCTCCTGTAGTGTAAAGGAATCAGGCACCTTGCAGGATATATGCAATATGGATTCCATGAATGAAACCTCCATCAGAAACCATAAAGTCAAGCAAATATAAAATATGTCATCTGGCATCATATATCAGTGAATGAGCAAATTGTAGGTCAGTTCTAATTTTGTTATATTTTACTGGATATAGAGGAATGTTGAGAGCAATAACTCCCATTGTGATTCATCGAGGCACTGTGAAACTACTGGGTCACACTTAGAATGGCGATGCAGGTGTTTGTGTTAGAAAAAGGTACATCGAGCATGATCGGAGGTGAGACGAGAATTGTACATATTTTCAAAGGGTAAGGTGGTGAAGACAGAGCAGTGATAGGAAAGAGTAGAGTTAAAGTTGCAATATGTAATAATGAAAAGAAGTTAGTGCATAGGTGCAGTCTCTGGTCGATAGCTGTAAAAGGTAAGCAAAAGGCAATCCCAATAGTGTTGATCCTATGGTTGGAGAGGAGAGGCCCTCTCCAAGAGGGATGAGATTGATCTCATGCTAACTAATAAATAGGAAGCAAAACACAGTCCAAATGTAGTACATTAGGGACAGATGAGGGGGTAACCTTTGGTTGGATACTGTAGAAATCTGTCCCAAGACAAAGGTAAAACTTAAATGTTTATTTGTAATATACTAAAAATTAAATAAACCTAGTTCTAATTGATAATGGGTGGGGGGAGAGAAAAACATAACAACGGACACAATCTGGGTAAAGAATAGCTGGATGGTGAAAATATCCGATCGAGTTTTTACAATGCTAAAGATACAACTATAGTGGAGAGTCGATACCAATGGAGGGGAACTCTGTAGCCAAACAGTTGCTACAAATTATATTAGCACTTGTATGTATCTCACGGTAAAAGTCTGGTGCACCACATAACACTGTGATGTAGGACTAGTAGTGAATGCTAGAGATGGCTAATATATGTAAGGCTGTATTAAGCACCAGGTAACTCAATGGTAAATAAGGACAGGAAAATAGAATGAGCCCCGACGTGAGTTTCGCCAGTCTGCGGCTCTTACCTACCCAGATATACCAAGTATTTTGCCCTCAAGTTTTTATCACTAAGTTTGATAGTTGGATCTTGGTAATAAGGGTCACTTATCGGACCTTTTGTTCTTCCCTAGAGGCAGTCAGCTAGACTTATATTTGTCTTCAGATAGGTGCCTTCGAAGGCACAGACAGTCTTACCTCTTTTTAAGAATCTCTTGATAGTTGATTTAGCTGTCAGCATACCCTGATCTAACCAGCATCTTATCAGTTTAGACGGCAGTTAGTTATTTAGTCTTACTTGTCTAGATAGGTGCCCTCGAAGGCACAGACAGCTATTCTCGTTATAGATTTTCTTGCTGCTACCGCCAGATTATCAGCCAGCGAATCAGTCTATACTACAGGATTATATAAGTATCTATGTGTTATATTTCATCTACACTCACTTGATCCTGCCGCTACAATTACCCTCTGGCTTTTAAATACTAGGTAAATTATTTAATCAATGCACGTATTTGATACTTAGCCAGTGGTACTTATATATGGCGTGTATTACCACACTGGTATAGTACCTTATTTACACCACGCATCCAATTTACAGTTTAGTCTATCTTCCACTCTACCGGTTACCTGGTGCTTAATACAGTCATGTATATATTAGCCATCTCTAGCATTCACTACTAGTCCTACATCACAGTGTTATGTGGTGCACCAGACTTTTACCGTGAGATACATTCAAGTGCTAATATAATTTGTAGCAACTGTTTGGCTACAGAGATCCCCTCCATTTGTATTGACTCTCCACTATAGTTGTATCTTTAGCATTGTAGAAACTCGATCGGGTACTTTCACCCTCCAGCTATTCTGTACCCAGATTGTGTCCGTTGTCATGGCTTTTCTCCCCTCCCTCCCTGCCCATTATCATTTAGACCTAGGTTTATAAACACATGTGTTGTCATTATTTTTAGTGTGTTACCAATAAACATTTAAGTTTTATCTTTGTCTTGGGACAGATTTCTCCTTCTACCTTGATCTCATACTATGTGGAAGTTATTAGGGAAAATAGGAGTTTCCAAAATTGGAAGCAACAGTAATGCGTCGGAACTGATATAATTATATTGTAATGCCTAGTGCCAGGACAGTAAAGAGAAATAAAATAAAGGATATTCAGTAACTAGAGCCATGGCCTTGATATAAGACAACTAAGGCACAGAAGGAAGAGAGGTGGGACAGAAGGATTGTTCTAAAGAGTATCTAACAGGGATACACACACCACTCTCAATTATAAAAGGCCTGCATAATCCAGTGAAAAGCATGAAGATTGGTTTAAGCTAATTGTTCTTTACTCTGAGGAAATGTCCGAGTGTGGAAGCTAAGCCATGGTGGCTTGTGGCATCAGAAAATGCAGATACCACCTGTCTCAAGGTGGAGAACAGGTAGAAATCAAGTTCAACAAATACAACATGCATGGATGAATATGCATTGTCACTAGACTTCTTAAGCTTAATATTACTGGTGGCACCAAATGTTTAAAATTTCACTAGGATGATATGCAGGTAGATGGACATCTGAATCATTTTTTTTTATTCCACTGTTGCCTTTCTGAAAGTATCTTCATTCAGTTAATGCTTGTTTGTTATTTTAGCAGAATAGAATGTTAATACAGTTGTGTAGGCTGAAACTTTTCCATGATGGAAAACCTGATTATGTAAACATATAAAACATGTTAAATGATATTTTCTTCCTGGGTTTTGGTGGCAAGTATTTACAATTTTGAGAGTATCCATTTCTTAGTCAAAGTAACATGTATTGTCCATCAGAATAATTAGCATTAAACTGTATCCTTTAATATTTTGAAATGGGAAATTATTCTTCAGGAATCTCAACTCCTTCCCTGCCTGTGCAAAATTTCTGCTGAATATCTACTGAAAGTTATAAGTTCCAAAGAGGTTGTGTACAAGTACGACAGAGTCCTTTTCAGAAAGTCTTCCATTTGAACGCTAAATGTTGCCTTTCTGGAGCACATCCAATAGGTGTAGTAGAAAATGAGTCAAGATATATATCTTATAGTACTGACTTCACTAGAGCATCTGCTGTAACATTATCGTTTGATTGTCATCCAAGAAAAGTACTTCTTCTGAGTCCGAGATTTTTTTTGCTGCATCAATGTCATTAAATATGCGCTTCAAAATCGTTGGCTTCCTTATATGCAATACTATAAGTATCAGACTGAGCATAAGGCAAAGCATTCCTGAAACACAAAACAGAAACTATTTAGATGAGCATGCATGTAATAATGCACATAATGCAGCTTCAGAAAACTTCTGCCAAATTAATGGGATTTATTAAGGCTAAACAAATGCTATTTTGGGTACAAAGTACTAAATGTTCAGTCACATCCTATTGGTTTACATAGTGTTAGAACTTTACCTCAAAATACCACCTGTTTTTGCCTTGATAAATCTGTCTTAAAATGTCACAGAAATTGTTTTTTTTCTTCCTTCAGGCATCAGTCAAGTCACTAAATTTAGTAGTACAAACAAATACTGTAAATGGTTGCAATATTAAAATTATATTGAAAAAAATAAATAAAATATAATACTTCAATAAATAAAAGAATGCACAGAAATTAAAGAATGTGATTTATTTTGGCCAACTTAACTTAACCCATGGTCTTGATAATGACCCAGTAGGATACAAATGTTAAACTGCACATTTGCTGTGGGTGTCACGTATGAGCTTGAACAGAATAAATCTCATTCTCGAAGTCCTGTAAGCACTTTCATTTATTGGAATATTTTATGAGAGTGGGTGAGCACTGAGGCCATTATTTAAGAGTTGTGCTTGAGGAGGGTGCCAGATAAGTTCTGTATGTGTATATTTATATATATAGATACATACATACAGAACTTATCTGGCAGAGATAAGAATATATATACAGTTGTGCTCAAAAGTTTGCATACTCTTGGAGAATTGGTAATATATGTACCATTTAAAAAAAAAAAAAAAAGTGTGAGCTGGCAAAACACATCTCTTTAATTTCTTATGAGATTTATATTCAACTGTAGGTTATAACAGAATAGCACAATCATAAAACAAAACACGGATACAGAGAAAAAAAATTAAATGACCCCTGTTCAAAAGTCTGCATACCCTTAGTTCTTAATACTATATATTGCCCCTTTAGCATCAATGACAGCGTGCAATCTTTTGTAATAGTTGTCTATGAGGCCCCTACCCAGTTGGTATAGCTGCCCATTCGGCTTGGCAAAATGCCTCCAGGTAATGCAAAGTCTTTGGTCGTCTTACACGAACTGCACGTTTGAAATCTCCCCAAAGTGGCTCGATTATTGCTCTTTTGACAGTTCTTTTCTGCTCCCCATGGCTCTAGCCTGCTCAATGCATCCATGTGACATCTAACAAACTCACTGACTATTTGTACACAGACACTAATTGCAATATACAAAGCCACAGGTGTGGGAAATAAACCTTTAATTGTCATTTTAACCTGTGTGTGTCACCTTGCGTGGCTGTAACAAGGCAAAACATTCAAAGGTATGCAAACTTTTGATCAGGGCAATTTTGGTGATTTCTGTTATTATGATTTAAAAAGGAGCTATATCTATATTAAATTTTTTTTTTTATCATTTTAAGGTGTCTGGTAAAATAATTTGAGTAGTCTCAAATGCTGCGCTGCTAAACTGCACCAAACAATATCTTACATATGGTAATAAAAACTATTACAACAATATGGAAATGCAAACATGACAAGTAACGATAAAGGATATTACAGTCGTAGTTGTAGGTTATTATATATTTATATATATAGATTACAATGTGACAAGTAGTATATAAACGGCTACATGGCTACAGTACAGGTTCACTGCTCCTGACGACGGCATGCTAATATGCCGAAACGCGCGTCGAGCATATTTTAATTTATTTATTTATTTTCTTTTTTCTTTTCTTTACCACTTATTTGGTAGCACAAGAATATGAATTTCTATTTAGGTTAATTTAATGGAAACTAGTTTATTGGACAGGCAGGGAGTGGTATGTAGGTAGGCACTTGTATACAGTGCTGAGGTACATGGATTGTTTTTGTAGCTAACTTAGATAGACCTGAATAGGCAGGGAGAGATACATATTGTAGGCACTTGTGTGTTTTTGTCACAGTGCCGAGGTATTATTTTTTTTTTTACCCATTTACCCACTTATTCCTGTCCTTTTTCTATAGTGTTCTAGACTTGGGCTTGGATTTTGTGAGAATTTTTTTTTTTTTTTTTCATCTCTCCCCTTTAGGTCAAGTATATGGGCTCATTCCCCCCATTAGCCCTAAGCTTTTCATTGTTATTACCCGCTTTCTCTATTCTCAACACTTTACTTATGCTATCTAGGCTTGCATATATACATTTTTTTTTCTGATATAGCCTGGTCTCTCTCTTCTGAGTGGGTTAGCATTTAGGATTTGTATTTGTGTTGAGGAATTATTACCTTCTCTAAGCCATTATTTTGAGAAGGTTAGCATTCAGGTTTTGAATGCAAGTTGAGGAACTACTGCCTCTTCCAACACCTCCCTTATTTTCTGTCCATTTTTTATACTGCTCCCCTCATTAGGTTTAATAAAGGTAGGGCTCTCTTTCCTTGTTTAACTATTCTTTCACTTAGGACCTTATGGTCTCACCTTTCTCTTCTTATTATTATATATTTACACTATCTTTTTCCTTTAAAGCTATAAAGTATAGTAGCACTAAACATGTTAGAAAAATATGCTTAATATTATTTAGTTCATATCACTATCATATTATTATCTACATTTCAGAGACCTGTACATTCTCAAGCACAAGTAAATTATGCATAAGCTTTGAGGACACCAAACATATAGAAAATGAAAACTCACTCTTAAAATCTAAGAGTCTCAAAAGACAGTATGGCACAAAATGGCACTCTTACTCCTCAGAAGATGCTTTCTTTGAACATGGAGAAAGGGAAGTGGTTCACCCTACACCCGGGCCCAAAACAAAATTGGCACCGACCAGGTACCCGGTCACAACTTATGAGCTGAAAGCTATGCTGGCAGAACTCCGGCAAAACATTGAAGCTGACATGGCCTACTGCAAGGACCCTTCAACGAGCATCTACGACACAAGGTATCCCACAGCAGAGCAGAGAGTAGCCCACCTACAGTGGCAACAGCTTGAGTCCTCTGAGAGGATAGAAGCGATGGAAGATCAGACTTACTTATGCTCTCCACCCCTCCCGGGGTATGGGCAGCAAAAGGTAGATCTCCCGATACTTTTGTCCTAGGCTATTCTTTCTAGTTGACTCCAGGTGTAGCCCATCCTTGTGATGTCTGCCTCGAAGTCGCGTCACCAGGTATTTCTTGGATGTTATTTTCCTATTTCCTTGGGGGTTCTATCTGAGAGCCTGTCTGGTGATGTTGGTTAGCAGTTTGCATAGGGTATGCCCTATCCAGCCCCATCTTCTCTTCCAGTTTTCTACCTCTGCTTAAAGTTGGCAGGTCCTTTCCCATTGGTATTACTGGTCAGCGAATGTGGAGAATCCTTCTGAGACAGCTGTTGCTGATCCTTGCCTTGACATCTGCATCTGTTTCACCTTGCTGGTTGAGGATGCTGCCCAGGTAAGTGAAGAACTGCACTTACTTCAGGGGACTTCCATTCAGGGTGATTGGGTTGATGTTGCTGAAGTTGGTCTTTAGGATCTCCTTTTGGATAATGAGTCCAACCTGTGCTGATGTAGCTGCCTACACTGATCTTGCATCTGCTGCCGGCTGTGGGAGAGAAGTGCGAGGTCGTCAGCAAAGTCCAAATCATGCAGTTGACTCCACAATGTCCACTGGATTCCATTTCTGCATTCGCTGGTGGATGTCTTCATGATCCAGTTGATGGCATTGAGGAAAAGGAACGGGGATAACAAGCATCCTTGTCAGACTCCAGTCTTCACCTGGAAGCTGTTGGTGAGCTGTTCACCGTGGATCACTCTGCAGGTCATTCCGTCGTATGAGCACTTGATCAGATTGACCACCATGGCTGGGATGCCATAGTGTCAGAGGAGATTCCATAGGACCTCTCGATCCACACTATCAAATGCCTTCTCATAGTCGACAAGATTAAAGTACAGTGATGAGTTCACTCCAAAGACCGCTCAACTATGATGCACAGCGTTACAATCTGGTCCATGCATAATCGATTCTGACAGAAGCCTGCTTGTTCATCTCATAGTTGTGGATTGACAACGTCCTTCATCCGCTCTAGGAGGATCCAGTTGAAGACCTTGCCTGGCACTGACAGGAGTGTGATACCTATGTAGTTGTTACAGTTGCTGAGGTCACCTTTCTTTGGAAGCTTGATTAGATAACCCTCCTTCCAGTCAGTCGGTATCTCTTCTTCCTCTCAGATCTTTACAGCATCTCCACTGATAATTTCAGGTCTGCTTTCAGGGCCTCTGCTGGTATGTCATGTCAGGTCCAGCTGCCTTCCCGTTCTTCATCATGGTGATGGCATTCCCAATCTCTTCTCTAGTCAGCTTGCTGCAGTTGATGGGGAGATCTTCGTTGGCTGTGTTGATGTCTGGTGGATTTGGTGGTGCTGGTCTGTTCAGGAGCTCCTCAAAGTGTTCAGATCATTTATTCATCTGCCGCACTAGTCCTGTGATGACCTTTCCCTTCTTGTCCATGACGGGTTGTTTTGGCTTGCTGTACTTTCCAGACAGTTTCTTAGTCATGTCGTACAGCTGTTTCATGTTGCCGTTGTATGCTGCCTGTTCAGCTTCAGCTGCCAGTCCATCTATGTAGTCTTTCTTGTCCTTCCTAATGCTTTTCTTCACTGCTCTGTGGGCTTCTGCGTATTCCACTTGGGCCTTGGCTTTTTCTGCCCTAATCCCAGTGTTGTTAACTGCCACCTTCTTCTGTTTTCTCTCTATCTTGCCCAAGGTCTCAGCTGTGATCCACTCTTTCTGATGATGTTTCTTTGCTCCGACTAGTTCTTGACAGGCTGTTCTCAGTGTCGCTTTTATTGTCTGCCAGCTGGCCTGTACATCACATCTTTCCTCTTTCTCATGCAGCTCATTTAGCACCTCAAACTTGTTCTTCAACTGAAGTCCAAACTCCTCCTCCTGCCGCTGGTGATCCTTAGGTGCCTGACATCATACTTTACTCTACACCAGTGGTAGTCAACCTTTTTCTACCTACCGCCCACTAATGCATCTTTCTTGATGGAAACATTTCCTTACCGCCCACCAGTTTTCGCGCAAGTGTGGGATATTTTTTAGAAAGGAGGGTGTTTTTTTTAAAATAAAAAAAAGGACGTACATTTATCTTTTTATTTCTACTTTATACATGTTTATAATGTTTTTAACTTTATAAAGTTTAATGAGAAAACAATAAAGTAAATTGAAATTACCTTTACTAAAGATTAATGAGATCCTTGAGGTTGATGCCGCAAGACTAAATATTTGATATCTGGTTCGATTTTCAGCCCGCGCGGCAAATGGTGATGGTGGGTACCTGGTCACAGGGGTACCGCTGGCTTGCACCCACCCACCCGCCCAATCTCTCAAAATGAGGAAATCCCTACCGCCCACCTGGATTCCTGAAACGCCCACTAGTGGGCGGTAGGGACCAGATTGACGACCCATGCTCTACACTGTGTTTCCATCCAGTTCTTCTTTAACTTCAGCTGCATGCTGGCTACTACTAGGTGGTGGTCGGACGCCAATCTGGTTCTCTGTCACACTATCCGGTGATACCCAAGTGTTTTTGTGGATCCGCTTGTGAGGAAAATTGCTACCTCTGATGACCAGGTTGTTGAGTGCACACAGTTCCGTAAATCTCTCCACATTATCATTCATCACTACCAGCCCGCGTATCCCTATGACTTGTTCATATCCTGTGTTGTCTGGTCCAATCTTAGTGTTCAAGTCTCCCATAAGGATGTAATGTCTCTGGCTTGGAATGTCTCTATGATTTTCTGCAGTCTATTGTAAAACTCATCCTTGTCTTCTTCATCGGAATCATTGTTTGGAGCGTAACTCTAGATGACATTGAGCTTAACCTTCTTCTGCTTGGTTCTGAAGGATGCTCTGATGATTCTGGGGCCATGCGCCTCCCATCCAATCAGTGCCCTTTGTGCTTGCTTGAACAACATAAAGTCTACTCCCTGCGTTTGGGGTGTGTCATTCTCTTCCTGCCCGGAGTACAGCAATAGGTTTCCTGTCATTAGTCTCCTCTGTCTGGCTTGTGTCCATGAGGTTTTGCTGATGCCCAGTGTGACCAGTTTGTTCTTCTTCATCTTGGCAGCTACCTGCTTCATCTTGAATGTCTCGTACATGGTCCTGACATTCAACGTGCCTATGTGGGTTCTCCTGGTTAAAAGAAGGGTAATTGGCTGGGTGGCTTCCTTCTGGCTTTCACTACCTATCGTCATGTATCTTCAAAGGCCCTCCATCTTCCAGGAAATTAGTTTCTATTTCTCTTTTTGGAGTTTTTGTAGCGGTTGAGGTTTTTCCAGGATGAGGTTGCCATCCCCACGCCCAACCCTCCTCCTTTTTCATCCGGGCTTGAGACCGGCAAAGGATGAGTTGGAAGGTCAGAGGAGGAGATATAATTTGAAGGTCAGCAGTATCCTATAAACTGTGGCCTCCTCCCTGACCTGTCACACTACGTTCGGCAGCGTATCACTGTTTTGCTGCTACCTAAACAGGCCAAACAAGTAAAAATGGATGGCATGTTTTGAACTACCGAAACCGGGAATGCACCAGCATCTGCATCTGCAACTTCAGACCTCATCATACACTTTCAAACTCTTTAGGATAAAGCTCTGCTTGTTTCAGTCATTTAGGGTAAAACCCCATTGCTCTTTGAGGGCTCCCACATAATGTTGTTCCCAAACCTCACCAAAAGTTCATTCATCTGGCACAAGACACTACAATCTTTATTACTGCACCTTCGAGCTAGAGACATTACCTGCAGATGGGGAACACTGAAGCAACTCTAGTTTACACACTCAGGGACTATTTATAAAGTTTGGAGCTACCCGGAGCTGGAGTCCCATCTCCGCAGGTTGGGCATCATGGAGTTGGAAAAAGTAGATGACGGAGGCCTGTCATGGTTGGAGCCATCTACAGTAGTGGAGTTCATCACACGCTAATCAAGGTGCCCAACTCTAACAGGGAAGTCAACTTGAGAGACATCATTTCACAGCTAGAAGACCTATATCTCTCAGTGGGGGGAACCCAAATTTTCACCACCAAACACTGTTGAAACGTTTATTTTGTTTCAAGACTTCATTTCTTTTACTTTCCCATATCTCTATTTCCCATATTACATTAATGAATAATGGGTTGTGGGGTTTACTACCTCTCTTGTTTCTACTGTCACAGTAATTCATGTGAAACCCCACTTTGTTGTTTTCCTTTCCTCGCCTTTCCCCTCTGGATGCTCTACAGTGTACTGTCTTCTAGCATTCAATTTTTCACCTAGTTCAGGAGAACGGGAACTCCAACATTTGCATAGATCTTAATAGGTCTGTCTGTTACTTAACTGTCACCTCATGCATGTGTGGGTAGCCAGTTGATTATATATTGCAGTCTACTGTTTCTACTATAGAAAACATTCTACATGACATGCAATTTGTTTTTGTGCTAATTTGATGTCTTTTTATTTCTCTCTGTATACTGGATATAAATGTTGCTCATAGTATACTATGTTCATGTGGAATGACATAAATAAAAATGTCAAATATATAGTATGTAACTTACCTGCTCCTAAGCTTATCCAGAAAGAAAGTCCAAGTGTTGGTTGTAAAACAGAAATACCAAACATGATACTACAGGCTTCTTGCCTGATGCTTACAAAAGATATCAGGGAAATTATAATGCACAAAGAAGTGGAAATCATCATATAAATCCCATATTGTAATAATAGCATGGAGAACAGCACATTGCAGAAAATCCATGAACAAAAGGCTAACCTATAATAGACAAAAACAAATAATATTAAATAAAGAAATTCCACAAAGGAAATAATCAGTCAAAGGAACATTACTTTGATGCAGCCAAATACATATTGCATATAGCCCATATGCCCTAACCATTTTGCAAACATCCTCTGTGTACACGGATATATGTGCCAGACTTGAGCACAGTCATTCACATTATAGGTAATCACTTACAAAGTGAATTGTCAGGAGAGAACACATTGACTGTATCCCTTCTTTTCTCCATCCCATTCCTTGGGCCTTAAATACAGTTAATAATAATATGGTGATAAGTAAGAAGGGGTCTAATGGCTGGTTTTATGGATTTAGTATTGTTATAATTTATTGAGGGCTTTTTTTCTAATTACAGTACAGTGTAAATTTGCTAATGTTCAGTAGTGTAATCTGCCAGATATAATCAGCAGCTGAAGAGAAATCATTGTTTGTATCCCATATCTAGTGAAAAAAATAATGCTGTTACGGGCACTCTGTTAGAGGGAAATATTCAAATTCCATATTGTTCACTTATTAAAGTACTGCTATGGTCAGGATTTATCAAGACATCTCAATCGGAATCCTATAAATGTCTCACACAATCCGTGGACTCGCTCATATGTACTTCATTCCAGCATTTCTTGTGTCAATGTCTGAATACTTGGGTCAAAAGTCTTTATCAAGGCTTAGGGGTCCTATGAACAGGTCATTAGTAAAAGCTGAATTCTCAGTTACAAATTCAGCTAAAAATAATGAGCCCACCTTCAGTCTCTTATAACTAAGTACTAGGTGTACTGTATTTGCTATGTCAGTAGCAGGGTAGGGACTGTGAGGGCCAGGGGTTATGGTGATACCTTACCTGTGTTAAAATTTTAAGTATTAGTGTCCTGGGGTTGAGTATCTCTTTGGAACTATATTTAAAAGGGAGATAATATTGCCCTCAGTTTAATATTTTTGAATAAGGGTCAGATAGTGATAGTTTTCCCTGTTTCTGTTCAAGGAGTGAATCATTGAAAACCATAGAGACTAACTGTCTGTTTTCAAACACAGTCTGACCCAAAGGGCATGTAAATGGCTGAAGGATCTTGTCATATATTAAAGGCTGAAGGATCCTGTAATATATAAAAGGGAAAGATGAGTTTCTTTTTTTTTTACATATACGTCATTAAAAAAAATCTATTTACTTTCAAAACTTGATGAAAAGATTATTATATTGAAAATAGTTTTGAGGTAACAGTTGTCCTTTAACATTATAGTATTTGTTAAAAAAGTAATAATGATTTTATTGGGTCTCTTGTTCATCTTATGTCTGATTATTGATTCTATAGTACTTCATCTCTAAGTTATTCTATACTGTATTCTATAAATAATTGGCAACTAGCATGTTCTATTATTATTATTATTATTTATAAAGTGTAATTAAGTACTATAGGTGGAATAACAAGTAGTAACAACAAGGCAAGTTGGACATCCAGGAACTGAGGATGCTGAAGGCTTACATTCTAAGTTGGGTGGGGTAAAATGACCCAAGTGGTAAGGGTAAGATGCGTTTCATGTATGGGAGAAGTCGGCTACTGGAAGAGTTTGCACTAAAGTCTTACATTTTAGATGACACAGTTGTATATTTGGTTGTCTCTTTCATGCTACTGTGTGATAGTTGTTAACACTGGTAAAAACTAATAATAACAAGCACTCAACATTAAAAGTTATGTTTTGTTATGTGCTTACCACATTAGTGCTGATGCATAGTATGATCCAATGCTGTATTGTTCATAAAGCCTGCAGGGATTTCCGCTGGTAAATTTTTCAGCCACATATAGTATTGGGTTTGGCAAACCTCTTTCTAAGCCATCTGCATACTCTTTGTCAAATATGTGGCCTGTCTCCCAGTCAAATATCTCGTTATAATTAATGGTTTCATTAATTTGGTGCACAGGAATTCCTACAATGAAAAGACAGAAACAATTCCATTTAACTTTAAATTTTGAAGAAACATATCAATAAAGTCCTACGGCACATTTTCATCTCTAACAATATAATACCTGCCCCCACAAAAGCATCTTGTATTGCAGAAGACCGTAAGTGCATTATCAAGTGACTAAGCTATATTTATTGCAAAGAAATATAATTAAAGCATTGATTGTCTTATAACAAATACCATCTTACACTGGCTCTTTGGATCAAGAACATTCGTAGAGAAAGTATTAGTGAGAACAACATGACCTTCAGATTTTAGAGTCGCTCACGGTTAAGACTGTGAAGAATGACTGTGTTATATGACACTCAATGTAAGTACATTGTCTGCAATATGTTCAGTACTTTCTGCTGTGTTACATATACCTCTGTTGTAGTGCCGTATAATACTATAAATCCACTTTGTCCACTAAAAGGTTTTAATAAAATGAGTATCTCTAAAACAGTCTTTTGTTTTGAAGACTACATCAGATTGTCATTCAGGTATCTTCTGCAGTGACTGTCTAAATACAAGGCTGGCGTCCACTGTGAATGGAGAGAGGGCTCTGGAGTCTCTTGAAATGTAGATATTCATTACTTTGTGTGAGTGCTAGTAACATAATTGCACTTGGCTTCTGGACTAAATCCAGAGACTGATTTATTGAAATGATTAATTGATAAAAAAGGGATTAGAATCAGATGAAATTAAGTTGGCATTGATGGTGAGGATAGCAAAACAGATGGCCTTAAAGAGTAGATCACAACTAACTCTTTCTGCCCAATAAAGCTGAGCTATGTAGCTGCTTCCTCACCTTCAAGGGGAATTAATGAACGAATGAATGAATGAGTGAATTAACTAATTAATCAATTAATATATGAAAATCAATCTTCACGTTTTCCTTCATCCTGGGCTGAAATTCTTGGATACCATGGTAGGCTGTTACCACTTGCATAGGGTTAGGAAAAGCCAAGGAGAACCACTTCTGAACTTTTCAATTTATAATTTGCTGGATTATATGCTTCAAACTGCAAAACCTTGTAATAAAGGTTTAAGCAGAGCTGTTGTTGTATGGCCTTGAGGCAGTGGTGTATTCTGGTTCAGTGCTGCTCTAGACATGACACTATTTGGGCACCTCCCTTCTAAATTTCTCTTCCTGTTTAAAATCAACACATTCTTTGCCTGACGGACACAAGCCTTCACTGACACTCACTAACAGATACAACGTCATTGTCACACACTGTTTAACCAACACACGCATTCACTGAAACATACACACGCACATACTCATTTATAGTAACACTCACTCACAGTTACACACACACACACAATCTGTGACAGACATGCATACACACACTGACAGACACATTCTAAGTGACAGACACATACACATTCACTGACACACATATACACTCACTGACAAACACACATACACTCTCACTGACAAACAGTTACAGACACAGATACATGACACTCTTACAGACACACATACACACTCACTAACAGACACACACTCTCTCACTAATAGGAACACACACTCTCACTAATAGACACAGACACACTCACAATTCTTTTATTCAATCCACCCAGCCTTCCTACCTTTGGGAGTGCTGGAGTGGATTCCCTATTTCCCTGGGGTCCAGTGGGGATCCTTTAACTGCTGGGTGGGTGTGCGGGTGGTTGGTCAATGCAGGCAGTGAGGGAGCTCTGATCTTCCTGCTCAGCTCCCTAATGTGCCTCTCAGTGATGCTGGGGCTGGAGTTACGTCATATTCCGGCTCCAGCATCACTGTGGCGAGTGAGACAGCAGAGCAGGGAGAGATCAGGGGAGAGTGCTCTCTTGCCACCTGTCTCCAGCATCAGCAGATGCCAACCTCGGGGGTGGAGGGCAAGGTGGCCAGCTGGTCATCTCTAGGGCCACCAAGGGCAAGAGGCTAACAAGACATCTGCCGGGTATTTGGGGGGTGCCTTTTTTGCCACCCCTCTGAAAGTGAAGCCCAAGGAAAATACCTTGTCAGCCTTGCACTAAATACAGCACTGCCTTGAGGGCATATCAATGGAGAAGGAGGAGACTTAACATTGTTTTAAGGTTGTCGCCTAAAGCATTGTGGAAATTAGACTGTCCCAGCTACAAAAATCCCAGAAGATGTTAATCCCCATCCTACCTGATTGCAATACTGACACTAACATAAAAAAGCAATAGAAACAGAAAGTAAACATTTTTTTTAAACTTGAAACATTGGTATCAATGGAAATATTCTAAAAACAGAAAGCCTCTGAAATATTGATTACAAGTCATTTGATATTTTTCTTGATATATAGTGATATAAACCAGAAAGGAGGCTGTGCCACATATAATAATAATAATCATAATGGATAGCCACAAAAAAAGGGAAAATTTGAACTAAAAGGTAATACAATAATAACAAAGAATGTTAAAGAAAAAACTAAACTAAAGAATGATAATACAATTTAAAATAGCCACAGTAGTAATAAGCAAAAAGTGCCTAAAAATATTGAGAAATAAAATATAATAGTCCAAAGTCACTAATGTGAGGTAAAAAAATGGTATGGCTACTCTTCTGCTGTGAACATCAACATCATATTCTACAAGTGGGGATCTATACCACTGGACGCTGTACACACCAGAGCAGATAATAGCTCTGCCAAATGTGAGTAAGCCCATTTTATTTGCCATTTCAGTTCTACTTGTATGCATTATTGGAATCCTCTTTGTTCTTTTTTTTCTATATGCACTCATATGGAGACTATCAAGTTATCTGAAATCCTACTGTGCTTCCCCAATCAAGGAAAAACTGTTTACTTGGATACCTCTGATATTTTTTTACCTCATATTAGTGACTTTGCACTATTATATTTTATGTCTCACTATTTTTAAGCACCTTTTGCAGATTTTTACTGTGGCTATTTTAACTTGTTTTATCATACTTTAATTTAGTTTGTTTTTCTTTATTATTGTATTATAACCTTTCTAGTTTTTATCACTTTTTATCTTTATGGGTTCATAGGGATCCCCATACATTCTGGTTTGCGTCCTTTTTTTTTCCTTTTGCCTGGTTGATAAGCATTAATCCAGTTTCTGTTCTTTTTCTTGATATATACCTTAACATGAAAATATTCAAATTAATGTTCGGGATGTTTTAGGCCTATTTAACATACAATTTGCAAGATTCACAAACATAAATTAGGCAAACATCTAGTTAAATTAAGGTGTAATTTTCAGTTTTCACAGCTATAAAGATAATGGTCTGGATTCTATTTGAGGAAAGATTAACTCTTCTTACTAAGTAGCAATTCCTCCAAGTCTGTAGGAAAATTGATAAGAGAATTAACTCAAATGTACTTTATTTAAGGGCATTGCTAACAAGTGGTAGATGTATATTTATTGGAGGGGTGATGGTAGTAAATATTCAAATGTGTTCAAATCCTACATTGAAAACTCAACTATTATATTTAGCATTTAACTGTATGCAACCCACCATTAGGCTTATACAGACACATTTTAAAAGGGTGTATTTTCAGCTGAACAAGTGACTTCAGGAGTGGTACTCATTAGTAAACAATGGATGTGTGCCAGGTAGCTTAAAATACTCTCTAGAAAAAAAAAAAATCACCTTATGTACTTATGAGTGCCAGTAGCCTTCTGGAAGATATCACTTATTAACCCCTGAAGGACACATTATGGAAATATTCCGTCATGATTCCCTCTTATTCCAGAAGCTGTGTCCTTAAGGGGTGTTCAGATGCCTGGTGACTCTAGTGTCTTAATTCACATAAAAGGGAAATTTTGGTGAAATTAATTCTCTATATTTAAGTCAACATTTGTTGACAACCAAGCTATTTCCATAGTCTGTGGCATTTGTTTTTCTTACTTTTCTTTACAATGTTTTATATTGGAAGGTATTTCACATTTCTCTGTCGACAGGAAACACAGATGGAAATCCAGTCCTTTCAAACATCTAGGTTTATTAATTATTACATCTCTGAATATCCTGTCTTTCAAAAATAAAAATAAAAACATCATACAAACAAAAAAAAACATATGTTCTTCTATGAGCTTTACTAGATTATTGTATTTGTGAAAACATGTATTTCTCTAAGTGCTGTGTTTGTGACAACACTTGTTTTTACACCTCTCCTGAGATTAAGGACTATTTCCTGCTTCCTGTTTTCCAATGCAAGTTATAGCATACTTCTGGCCTTTCTGCATTCAGTATATTAAATGCTATATAGAATGGCTTGTTTACTCAAGAGACAATCTGCAACATAAACATAACAAATACTGCAACAATAGAACTGCCATGAGACCACTTCTTCTAGAACATCTCCCATAATGCTTTGCTCTTCTTTAATTGGAGCTCTGACATGAGGATCTATCTTTGAAAAGAGAACTGACAGTAATGGCTGCTGGTACATTGCATACCATACCTGACAGGGTTATGTTTATGCCCTTCAAACCAACCCAAAGTCCAATGCTGACATTAACCATTTCATTGCTGAAAGACTTGTAGACAGTTGTGGTTGTAACCATTCCTACTTCCCAGTCTCTGGTGAAGTTGACAGCTAAAATGGATAAAACAGTCAGAGATTAATTGCATCTTAAGATCTGTTACTGGTCTTTAATTATAGAGATTTATTGATCTGAAACTGATCTGCACAACTCCAATACTCAAAATGCAATAGTAATACAAGTATACAGTAATAATATATAGATGATAATTAACTGATCATGAATGCATTGATGAAAATCAACTAGTGTTGCCTTTAGGCCGAGCTGTGTAGGTCACCCAATCTGAACGTTGCACTTTCTTTGTCTTGTGGTCCAGGAGCTGCGATGTGAGGTGTTTTACTCTCTAGTGCATACATCTTTAACCATTTTTAAGAGACTTAAAGCTCCCCTGCACATGATGATGGCCCTGCTCAGGATCACAGCAACAGTGAGACAGAGGCGTGTAAGCCAAAGATATTTGCACATCTCACACTGCAGGTATCATACAACCATGGTCAGACCACATCCAGTACTTGGGCAAGACGCCTAACGATATACATCCACCTAATATACATTGTAATATCATACAAACAGGAATATGTTAGTGCTATATACATACTAATAATCAACCAGCCATTGGTCCCATTCCACCTTATGGATTGGCAATATATAGGAGGAAAACCCCCAACTGAAGGGAAAACTCTGGCATTAAGCAGAGTGAACTTTTTTTTTCTTATTTTTCTTAATAAGCAACCAAAAACAATATTGAAAATATAAACAGACACACATAGAATTATTCACTAGACTGTAAATTGTTAAGAACTGACCAGGGACTGCAATTAGCCCAAATATGTTTCCCAAACGCATACAAATTTGCCGGTTAACAGACTATAACAGTCTTTTATTCCTAGTTAGCAGAATAACACTGACATGGTCATTCATTAAACCCAGAATTTGTACAAATTAAAGGAACACTATAGCGCTAGCAATACAAAATTCTATTGCTAACGCTATAGTGTTCCTCTACAATTAAATATAGGTTTGGGCCACAGCCCTTTCCAATGCAGAGGGACCCACAACATCAACATCACAGCAATGGGGTAACCTAAAGCACATGCACATCATTAGGTCTCTAGGGGGGTCTGTTTTGACGTTGGCAGCCGGGCATTCCCTCCAGTGGCCATTGGAGTAACTAAATGACCTCCATTTGTTTAAATATACATAGGGATTAAGGAGAGAGCGCAGGTAACTTTTTTCCTTTGGTTTTTACTATATGTATTAGCTGATGTGTTCTGTAGTCGTTGCTGCCGCCCAGGAGTGATGGGAGTGAGTGCAGGACTTTTTTTTTTTGTATTTGCCTTCCCCATTAATGTTTTCCTATGGAGCTTCTGAAGATGCTGTACTTTTAAGTGTGAGGACGTCCAAATGTCTGGAAGTTTCTCTGAAACAGCAATGTTTTACATGCAGGGTTAAGGGGACAAAGTACCCAGACCACCTCAATGAGATGAAAAACTGTGGAAAAATAGATGACCTGGAAAAACTCTCCAACTAAGCCATAGTCACAACTTGGGATTTTCTGCCTCAGTTTTTGTATTCGGATATAATTAGCAAAAAATCAGAGTTCAGTGAATAACTCTGTGAGAGTAAAATAAATGGTTTCTACTGTCTTGAAATGCTAAAATGACAAATATATGACGTAGAGTTAGCTAGCTCCATTGTATATCCTACTTTCTTTATGATGATAAATGTAATATTGCCCTGTACTAAAAGTATATTGTATGATGCATTGCAATGATTACATAGAACATTGTTTATTCTTTTCAGGATTTTTATCTATCTGCTCAATCTACAAATAGTTATGTCAATTATCATTGAAATTAATTAGCTGTTATTTAAATTGCTAGGTTGATGGACACATTACATTAATTAATATCACATGAATGTTGCCTGGACTGATATTTATATTTTCTGACAACAAATCTCTAAAACAGTTTTAAATATCTTGGGTGACACATATGTAATCATATTGGTATGTATCATTTCACAATGAGTTATTGGAGGATTATTAATTGGATATTCATGCCATTTGATTTTAAAATGTATTATTCATTCATATAACACATCAATGAATTCATAATGCGTACTGCATTTTAATGCTAAAAGGTTATAAGTACTGAAAACTGGTGAGAATTGACAAGGCTATTGCAAATTTTAGGCAGTTATAACCCAAGTGGGATAATGTCCCTATCCAGCAATCCTGGTTAACTTCTATCCTAGAATTTGTAATCCATTTCTACATTCTCTATAATTCCCAGATTACTGATGTTTTGTAACAATCTGGTTCTCAAGCATAATGTGCATTTTTGTTATAAAAAGGTTTATTCTCTGAACCAGGAATTAATAATGATAATGGTAAATATCTAACAAGGATAGATACATTTAGCTGCTTGCTAGTTTCAAGTCCTCCCCTAGGTTTAGAAGTTATTAGTTATCACTCAACTTAATTTCATTGAGTTTGGAAGGATGAAAAGCTCTGACTTTTCTAGACATTAAACTGGCTACTCTGAAATACTGCACGTGGAGCTCTATACACTGAACTATCTCACAATGGAATTAGAAATGTTGTCTTTTGTGCAAATGTACTAATTTCAATAATATATCTGTATGTAGTGATATTAGGAATGTGTTTAGATACATGCATATGTGTGTGTATGTATGTATGTATGTAAATATACATATAAATCTTGGGATTTGTTTGTATCTTTGTGTTTGCATGTGTGCAACCTAGTTGTCCCAAGGCTATCCAAACTATAATGCACATTTCCAAGCACAGAAATAATTTTAAGTAGTGGTTCAGAAAATATCTTGCATCAGGGGAATTTCTAGGAGGCAAAGTAAAAACAAGGCCTTCAGCCCAAAGGTAAATTGTATCAAACCTATATCTTATATTTGCTTGTTATTCAAAACTCTGCCTTTTGTATGTTAAATCAACACACAGAATGAGAGGATTAGTAGAAGAATGTAAAATGTACAATGGCAGATTAAAAAAAATCATTACAGATTGTAATACAGAGAGATAAATGAAACCTGCAGTTGTAGATTTTCAGAAAAACTGGAGCCAATAATGAAAAGGTTCTAAAACCAGACCCTTGACTTTATAGCATTCCACTTAGATTCCAAATATTTTTACCTTTTCGGGCACATCAGCAAGTAGTGTATATCATAACATTTGAACATAATATTCTCAGTTAATATGCTAACGACTCAATTATATATATATATATATAATTTATTTTTTAAAATATATATTATTTTCATCTCAGTACTTTTCTGATCAATACTGTAATTGAAATAAAACATATCAAAGGTTTATAATTCTTCACTTAAAAGAACACTCTAATCAACATAACCCTTACCCATGTTAGGTTGTGGTGCCACGAGTGCATTGGAGCCATCGCACAGTAAGATGACAAACTATTTTAGCAACATTTGAAAACGGATAGGTCCAACTGGACCATGCGGGTCATGCGTCTAATGAGCTACATCCAGTAAGAGAAGGCAGATGTTACCACAATCATTGGAAAGCTGCCAATAAGAAGGCCCTGCATCACCTCATTTTGCTCTGTAGAAGAATCTGTCTTGGAGAATACTTGATGTGTCTTGTACAGCAGGTTGTAGTGCTTGGAGGGTTTCTTTAAATAGTTTTTTCTGTTCATTTAACTAAATGTAGTATTCTGTCTCATTGTGTATTTTATCTAATACAATTGAAAATTGTCTTTTTTTTTAAATAATTATACATACCTAAAATCACAGCACCAATCAAAAGACTTGTCAGTACTCTCAAAAGCCAAAACAGTCTCTGTGAATAATACAAACAAAATAATAGCTTATCAAACAAAGAATTACAAAAAGTCATGTGACCAAATAATATATATTAATTTAAGAGAAAAGTTGTCTACTCTGTGCCATTTTATAAGTTATGGATCAACTGTAAAAAAAATTGTGTATCAAATTATGGACAGGCCACATTCCAACATCAAATATGTTTAAACCAAATTAGGTCTAAAATAAAAATTAGCTTCCATGCTCCACTAACTGGTGCATCACTGATAAATCAATGCTCTTGACATTTTGCTTGGATACAAAAAACTTCTCATTTTCCAGTAAATGAAAAGACCACACTTCTAGCGAATATGACATGCTTTTTTTTTTTTGTTTAGGACCGCTTGTACATATTTCACTTGACACTGCTAATGAAATATTCCAGTTATAGACTTTGTATAAGCAAACATTGACAATACAACTGCACTTATATTTAACAATGATTTTTGTTTATAATTATTTGATATAATATCAATATATAATCATAGAATATTTGGACTGATGTTTGGTTATGGCTATATTATAATCAAATACACTAACAATCACTTTCAATTAATGTTGCCAGATATTTTACTCAATGAATGCTTGGCTAGCAGAATGGATATATTTGCCTGGGGATAAATGCAATAGAATATCCACAAATATCCACAAACTTTCTTGGTGAAAAAAAACAGGGCTATAATTATCAAAGTTAAACTGACATACATGGGTGGATAAGTACTATATTTCTAACAACACCCACACAAATTATGTATAAGTGCTATATTTGGATAGCACTTTTAAGTGCTATCCAAATATAGCACTTATACATGGATTAATGCTATGTATACATACAATATTTCTAACAACACCCACACATATTAATGAGATATCCCCACTGATTGCTCCGAATGTAGCACTTTATCACAGTTAGGGTAGTTTAAGTTTTATCCTTATAAATGAGATCCATTGATGATATTTTGTTCATGTGGCAATGGTCAGAGTATAACTTTGATGCAATTTTCGAAGCCATTTAATTCAAATGGAATTGTCATTTATTAGTTAAAATGATGACACTTTAATGTTTTTAGACTTTGCATCAGTCAAGATACATGTAGAATTGTTGATAAATTAGTGCCGAAACTCTGTAGAGGCAACAAATGATGTTGTTGTCCCAATCATCTCACTTGGGACAAATACATTCCAGTTGGACAATTGTACTCTAACTTGATGGACATGTCAATACAAAGTCGTAATACATCAGATTCTGAGGAATATTACGTTTAAATGCCTTTTTTACTAAAGTTAGTTTACTGACTAACTCCAAATCTCGTGTTAATTATTCAAGTAATTGCATCATTAATGACATGCATATTTTCCAATCATATCACAGTTTACAAATTAATTTTAAATAAATATTGTCACATTCATTTTAAATCTTAATATTGTCACATATGGTAGTATGGATTCAGGGTACTGGCCAAAGAGGCACTGATCCTCGGGTACCCTGAGCAAGTACCACTTAACCCTGAGTCCTCTTTCTCCTGGCGCCCACTAACCCTATACATAACTACCCATAATTTCACCTAGTACATGGAGAATATTGTGGTATCACTATAAAATAGTGTGCATTTTTATTCCAGTGATATTATAGCTTTGCTATGATAGCTATAGTTTTTATGTTGACTTTAAACAAATGAATATTTTTGAAGTAAGTCCTTTTAAATGAGGCACTAGCCCATACACAATCTCTACAAAGTTTTATCAAGGACATATTTACAAAATATATGAAGGTAACACTATATAAGATATAGTTCAAAGAAACATTTTCCTAATCTCTTACTGGCAAGAACAAAAAAATAAACAAAAACATAAAGAATTGTATATACACTCGGTAAAGTAATAAAGGTACCAGCATTTTTGTTTTTTAAACAATTGTGCTATCTTGAGAATATTTGTGGGTGACTATGGCTTACCAGATGTTGAATGAAATGAGGTGCTAAGCTACACATTTTCTTGACTGACTATATTGTGTGTGTGTGTGTTAGGAGAAATGTATGCAGTTTTATTTGTAAAGTTTCTGTTTGCATGGTTTTCTCAATTAGCTACTGCAGCCATTATTAATGTGCTAAAGTCATCATCACAGGCTGTGGTTTACTAAATACTAAGTGAGATCATGGTTATGTTTCGTGAATGGCCATGCTGCTGCTTGTGTTGACATGATATTGATGCACAGTTCAGTGTGTGGAGCTTGCACAGACTGTTTAAGGCAGTGGGAGAGGGTTGATTTAGTTGGTTATCATCTGGAAAATCTATTATTGTTCTCCTATATTTCATCTTAGATGGTATTTAATGGTTCCTAGATGGTGTCTTGCCAGATGTCATGTGAGATGTGATTGGCTGCCATTAATGTGTTTAATGAGTGGTAAGACTGCTCATGTTTAAGGTAATACAGATGTACAGTTCAAACCTGCGATTTCCATGGGCTCGCACTTATTTATGTTTCTTTGCATTGCTATCCCATGATTTTCCTATTTATGCTAGCCCTGCTGGCAAAGAAAAAGGAATTACTTTTTATTACCAAATTTGAGAGAAGAATCAAGCGGTCAGAGAGTTAAGAAGAATGTGGTGGTATAGATCTTGAATACCAGAATTACAAATTACAAAGATTTGCCCAGACTGTATTTTGAATGTTCTTATTGGCAATAGTGAGGAGAGTGGGGCTGTTGTCAGAGGGTATTGCATATGGATAGAAAACTGTTGTGGTTCTTTAATAATGAATTGAATAGGAGGTTAATGGTTACCCTTGAGATGATGTGAGCTTTTTAATGTATGGTAAAAGATAATAAGCCAGAGATTCCCTTGTACTCATTTTTTAGCTGTTCACCCCTAAATGTGTTTGGGCTTTGTGGAATATTACAGGCACCATTTGGGCATATTTATTGTTTGAACTTCTCTATTGATAATATATGCATTTTTTTTTTTAAAGTAAGCACTACACTTACAATCATGGAAAAAACAGGTCTTAAAATTAGGTAAATACAACCTCAGATTAACAGCAATACATGACCTATTACACAGTGTCATGATTTATTTGACAAAAATAAAGCCAAAATGGAAAAGCCATGGGTAAAAAACTAAGAACACCCTTACTGCTTCCACAGAAAATAAGTAGCAGACAAATGCTGCTAATCTAATGTCACTGATGAATTGATCATCAGCAAGGGTGACCAGTTCTATAAAAGCCGACATTTAAGCTGTTTGCTGGTCTGGAGCATTCAGGTGTGTTAACACAACGTCAAGGAGGAAAGATATCATCAATGATTTTATAGAAGCAATTGTTGCTGCCCATCAAACTTGGAAGGGTTATAAGGCAATTTCCAAACAATGTAAAGTCCATCATTTTACAGTCATTCATTATTCAAACATGGAAAACATTTGCCAATCTTCCCAGGAGTGCATGTCCCAGCAAATTCACCCCAAAGTCAGAATATGAAAAGCTTAGCAAAATTGCAAAAATAACAAGAGTTACATCTCACACTCTACAAGCTTCAGTTAGCATGTTAAAGTTCATAACAGTTCAATTAGAAAAAGACTGAACAAGTATGTTTTGTTTGGAATGGTTGCCAGTAGTAATTCTCTTCTCTATAAAAAGGCCATTGCATCACGGCTTAAGTTTGCAAAGCTGCATCTGTACAAAAATTAAGTCTTCTACAGCAAATGTCCTTTGGGCAGATGAGACCAAAGTGGAGCTGTTTGGTCATAACGCACATTTGGGCAAAACCAAACAGAGCATATCAGCACAAACACCTCATACCGACTGTAAAGCATGGTGGAACTTTGAAGTCATTAAGTTGACCATGAACTCCTCTGTATATTCTACAGTCAAATGTGAGGTCATCTGCAACAGGGCAATGGTTACAAGCACAGCAGCAAATCTACAATAGAACGGCTAAAAGAAAAAAAATCAAGGTATTGCAATGGCCCAGTCGAAATCCAGGCCTCAACCCAATTGAAATGCTGTGCCTAAAACAAATGACAGCAAACATCAATGAACTGAAACAAGGTTGTAAAGAAGAGTGGGTCAAAATTCCTCTGCAAAAATGTGAGAACCCGATAAAGTAATATGAACACAATTACTTCAAGTTATTGCTACCAAAGGTGGTTCTATGAGCTATTGATTCATAAGGTGTACTTTGGCTTCTCCATTTTGGATTTATTTTAGTTGAATGAATCATGAGACTGTGTAATATGCCATCTATTGTTGCTCATCTGAGGTTATATTTACCTAATTTTAAGACCTGCTAAGGAACAGATGATGTCCTGATATGTAAAACCACATTTGTTATCATGTTTCCTGGAACAATGTTTCCATTAAATTGTACTCTATAGAATGATAGCATAAGTTTATTTATGTAAAAAATATTTTTGTTATTATTTATTAATAAAAACTGCATATTCAATAGAATACACAAATATAAAAAAAATGTCAAGTAAGTTTTAAATCGTATACTCAGGCATAATTATGCATGAATAAAGGTTGTTGTTCACTTACTGCACTTTTTTTTTTTAATTCTTTACTCTTATAACACTAAATAAACTGTTTCATTATTTTGGTTCTCTGTGAAAATCCTTACCAATTTTCCTCTGATTCCTGGCAATATGATAATGAATGTGCATGCGGTCACACTACAAATAATGATGATTTCCACTATGCTGGTATCATATAAAAATGGTTTTCTCGTTTGCGGGTAAAATGGAAAACTGTTGAAAGGCATGATTATTTCCTAAAAAAAAAAAAATTAAAAAAATACATGCATGATTATTTATTGCACAGTGTATTCATTATTTTTGTCTCTTTGTTCTAAAAATGTTACCATTTTAAGAACCAATATCACTTGATGGCAAAATACCAATCTGTCCTATACTTGTCCTCTTTATTCAGCTTAACAAAGCCCAGCTGTCACTGTATGAGTGTGATATTGTATAAACAGAAGGGAAAATGGGAAACAAGAAACACCATCATTTTTTTCATGTAGATAAGATCACAATGATTTTTTTACCATTATAGATAGTTTCACTTCTTTAAAGATAAAAGATTGTAAAGTTAGATATTTATATATTAGTTTAATGTATTATTATTTTTTTTAGTTATTGAAGATAATTGGAATAAAAAAAATATAATCATATTGTATATAGAATGAAAATAATGAATATATAAATTAATCATTCACATTTACAAATTAACATAACAATTTACCAATCAAATATCAATAATGAAAAGTATGGGGAAGATTTGAACATATATTATTCTCCTAGTTTTGAGCCTTAGATTATTTTCCAGAAGGTTACAGTGCAAGTTACTTAGTAAGGCTACATTCTTTCTATTTGCACTAACAGAGATTGAGTTGTGTTGATACTGGTTTCCTGTTTTTTTGTTTTTTTTTATGTGCAACACCCAAATGAGGAATCTTACATGCATGTTCCCTATTTGCATGACATATGTTGTATGTCAATCTTTCATGTCTATGTGACATGACCGTAGTTTAGTTGTCTTTACCCTGTTTAAAGGGACTCTCCAGTGCCAGAAAAACATATTTGTTTTCCATGCACTGCAGGACCCTACACCTCTATTCATGTGAATGCCGTTTGTCGACACAGAAGACAGAACTCTGTTTACACGAACGCTGCCACTTCTCACACATGACCACACAGGAGACAGAACTTCAGGAGAATCAAAGGGCGTGAGCATGCCGAAGCAGATCCTTTTAAAGGTACAGGAGGTGGAGACCAGGGAGAGCTACAATGAACAAGACCACCCATTCTCCCTATTTAAACCACACACACCCTTGACTTCTCACTCAGTTGACTATTCTGTTGTATCCTGATTTTGACCCTTGCCTGTATCATCGCTTCTGAACTTGTGCCGCCTGTCCTGACCGTTGGCTTCCCTGACTACTCTCTTTGTCTGATCCTTTTGTACTGCAAACTTGGTCCATTGTCTTCAGTGCTCCTCTGCAATTTGGGCTCCGTCTACTAAACACTGAACCCGACACTGACACAGTCTGCATGAAAATAAAAATGTCATTTCATTTCCAATCAGATGCTACCTACTTTGATTTTTTTTTTTTTTACATCCTGCTCTGTAAATTAAACCATAATCACATACAGGAGGCTCCTCCTGGGTCTAGCAAGTTAATAACAGTGCAGGAGATAGGAACTTCTAAATGAAACCGAATTTACAATAAAGGAAGTGTAAACATTAGATGACTCTTTAAAGGAAGTGTTAAGGAAGGCTGTAAAAGTCACATGCAAGGAGGTGTGACTAGGGCTGAATAAACAAAATGATTTAGCTCCTAAAATGCAGAGAATTGAGCAGTGAGACTGCAAGGGCATGATCTATACACTGAAACTGCTCCATTAAGCTAAAGTTTTTTTTAATGACTACAGTATCCTTTTAATCAAATGTTTAACTTTAAAACATGTGCTTGTCCAATCACTAGTTTCTTATAGAGACACATTGCATATCATAGGTGCATGCTCAGCACTTGCCAAAATCTGCCAGTTGAATAATTCTCAAACGGACTTATTGAATTCAATGAGAAATAATGATTATTATTTTAATGCAAGTGGTGACAGCAGTAAATTTTTATGCTATTTTTTTTAAATTCAATATTATTATTATTTACCTATAACATTTCAAAAATATATATGCAGTTTCAGTTGTACAGCTCCACAGAATTTTCTGGTGCTATATAAATAATAAAATAATAATAATAATAATAATAATAACAACTAATAAACTATTTTACACGCATTCCCTTCATATTTCTTAGTTAATGTGTGGTTAAATGTTAATATGGATAGCTGGATAGGTATTATGTCATAAGATAAACATGTTTCACTATCTTTTAACCCCTTAGCGACCGAGGACGGTTCAGGACCGTCATCGGCATTTTTGCCTTGAGGACCGATGACGGTCCTGAACCGTCCTAACGGTCTGGGGGTACTTACCTGATCGCCGTCGTTCCCCCGGCGGCGATCAGCGTGGCTCCGGTTGTGGGGAGACTGCCTGCAGCCCAGACAGTCTCCCCACGGCAGATTAGGACCCCTGTGGCCATGTGATCGCTTAACACAGCGATCACATGGTCACAATAGGTGTCCATAGTGTCTGCCTGCAGGGGGACTGCCTGTGCTGACAGGCAGTCTCCCTGCTAGTGTAAAATCAAAAAAAAATAAAGTTAGTGTTAATAAAAAAAAAATAATAATTATATATGTGTATATATGATATATAGACATATAATATATCTATATAATATATGTCTATATATCATCTATATAATGCCATACTAAGTGTATTTTTATATTAATATGTACTTATATTAATATAAAAATACACTTATAATTAAATTACACACGTATATATATAATGTATATAATAACTATATATATTGTATATATATATTATTATAAAATATAAATAATAAGTAATTTAAATTAAATAAATTTTTTTTTAAATAATAATAAAAAAATTAAAAAAAATTATATAGCTATATGAAATTTTATTCTAACTGTATTTTAAAATTAATATATATATATTTATATCAAAATACACTTAGAATGAATTTGTATATATATCTATGTATATAAAAATAAATAAAAATAATAAGAAATATACATATGTCCATATACAAAATTACATAAATAATTATATAAATATACACGTAGACTTCAAATATATAAATATGCATATATATTTAAATTCTACGTGCGTATTTATGTAATAGTTTTACATAATTCAGTAATTTTATTGATTGCAATTTAAGGGACCTGCCTGCCAACCCAGGCCGAAATTCCAGAGAATTGAATTTGCTAGCACTGTATTTTACCCTGTAACGTTCTACGACACCCTAAAACCTGTACATGGGGGGTACTGTTTTACTCGGGAGACTTCGCTGAACACAAATATTAGTGATTCAAAACAGTAAAACATATCACAGCGATGATATTGTCAGTGAAAGTGACTTTTTTGCATTTTTCACACACAAACAGCACTTTTACTGATGATATAATTGTTGTGATACGTTTTCCAGTTTTTAAACACTAATATTTGTGTTCAGCAAAGTCTCCTGAGTAAAACAGTACCCCCCATGTACAGGTTTTATAGTATTTTTGAAAGTTACAAGGTCAAATATATGGGTCAAATATTTTTACATTGAAAATGGCCAGGTTGGTTACGTTGCCTTTGAGAGCGTATGGTAGCCCAGGAATGAGAATTACCCCCATGATGGCATACCATTTGCAAAAGAAGACAACCCAAGGTATTGCAAATGGGGTATGTCCAGTCTTTTTTAGTAACCACTTGGTCACAAACACTGGCCAAAATTAGCGTTCAATTTAGTTTTTTTACTTTTTTCACACACAAACAAATATGAATGCTTACTTTGGCCAGTGTTTTCGACTAAGTGGCTACTAAAAAAGACTGGACATACCCCATATTGAATACCCTGGGTTGTCTACTTTAAAAAAAATATGTACATGTGGGGTGTTATTCAGAGATTTATGACAGATAATAGTGTTACAATGTCACTATTGATAAATTTAAAAAATTTATGTTTTGAAACCGCAATATTCTACTTGTACCTATAGCCCTATAACATGCAAAAAAAAGCAAAAAAGCATGTAAACACGGGGTATTTTTAAACTCAGGACAAAATTTTGAATCTATTTAGCAGTTTTTTTAATTCGCTTTTGTAGATGAGTAAAAGATTTTTCAAGTAAAAGTCAAAAAACATGTATTTTTTTCAATTTTTCATCATATTTTTTTATTTTTTTTAAATTAAAATACATGAGATTATATAAATAATGGTATGTAAAGAAAGCCCCTTTTGTCCTGAAAAAAACAATATATAATTTGTATGGGAACAGTAAATGAGAGAGCGGAAAATTCCAGCCAAACACAAACACCACAAAAGTGTAAAAATATGCCTGGTCGCAAATGTACAACATCGCAAAAACAGTCCAGTCCTTAAGGGGTTAATGAGCCATTTATGCTTAAGAAACAAAAGTTTATCTTTATTAAACATATGTGGTTAATTATATTACAGTGTAGAATTAAAGGCAAACTGTGTTAGAAATACAAACATGTAATGTTGGAGTTCTCGCTTGCCTATTTAGAGTTAGGGTCCCCCGTAAAAGGAAACAAAAGCTGTTTGTATCCTACGCTGTCACACTCCTGGCTGAGATCATCAGTATTGACGATCTGTTTACATGGATAATTAAGGGTAGCAAATAAGGGAAAGGACTTTTTTTCTCTTAATTTTCACCTTTCAGTTGTTTATTAGACAGCTCCCTCATTTGACATCCTATCCTTACATGGGATTGCCATAATTAAAGGTACCAAATTAGGAAGGTGTTGTGTTTAGTAGATAACTCCCTAATTTGGTATCCTTATAATGGTAATCTCAGATAAGGGTACCATTAGGGAGTTATTTGCTGAACAGCTGCCTGAAAGTAAAAAAAAAAAATTGGTTAACTTAATTTTGATCTTTCAGCTGTTCAGAAGTTAGTGTTACATTCTATATGCACATTGTGTGTATCACATAAATGCTATAAACAAGTCACACATACATTCACTGTTAGAACAGTCTTCCAGTGGAAGTGGTAGAGGCTAAGTATCTACTACCCTTTCTATATCACTATACATCCCTCCAGTGGAAGTGGTAGGGCTAACAGTGATATAGAAAGGATAGTAAATACATGGAACAGCCTTCAAGTGGAAGCATCTCAATAATCTGTAGAGATCTGTGGCTAACAAAACTCAAATTCAGGGCTTCGGCCATCAGAGCCCCCAGAGCACCTGGTTTACTATATGGAGACTGCTGGTGTTGCTGTTAGTGATATCACATGCCCTCTCCAGGGAGCATTAACAGAAATCTATGCATGTCTAAGTGATCGACTCTATTTTGCTGATACCAATGTCTCATTTTAACCTGCAGCTACTTAACAATCCCACCACATCATCCATATTCACCATAGTCTGACAGCCTGGCCACCCCCAGATACTTCAATCTCCAGGGAAATATCACCGTGACCCAGTCCTGATTTAGAGACCATTGAGATTTTGGGTCATCAGCCCAAGCACACATCCACTGTTATAGCAAAGTATCTGCACAGTTCTTGACTACAGCCTCACTTCTGCAGTACTTTGCTAACAAACTTGTCATCACGCTGTTAGTTACTCTACGATCCACAATCCCCATATGTTAGCAGTCCAGAGGCAACTGCCACCACAAGCTCTTATCATCCTTCTCCTGCTGAGTACATTGCATGGTATAAGTACAAAGATTAGTCAATTATATTTAAATGGACACTGCCAATGAAAAAATACCCAAAGCTGGAATGCTAGTGCAGAAGTATGTATGTCTGCTTTAACATATCAAGGCAGACTTGTAGGACCACCAGAGAAGTATCAAACTATTTCTAAATAGATTAATAACTTACACTGACATGTAGTTATGGCACTCCTGGCACCATAACCACTAAAAGTTGCTGTAATGGTTATGGTGTTTAGTGGGCCTCTTTAAAATTTTAATATGCGTAATGTGCATCAAGTCTTATGAGAGACAGCAGTAAATACTGAGGTCTTACAGATGATGGGTTTTTGTTTTGTTTTCCCATTCAACACAACAGAGCAAATTAGTACAGTGCTCTTTGCTAATGCATTGAAATGGTTAATTTGAATGCAATGCTTATCCCAGTCAAGCTACAAAAGGATAACCTGACTAGCATTGTATGCCTTCTTTGACCTCCCCTCACAGGTCCCTCTGTGTTACATTTACAGACATTTTTACACCCAGGAAACCACAGCAGCATCTAGAAAACATCTAAGTGCACTTTCTCTGGTTTGGGTTTCTATGGTTTCCTATGAAAAGATTTTTGTCATGTTAAATACTTTTTCTTTTCTCATAGCCACAGAGATAACTCATCTAGTAAAAGCATTTAGGAGTAAATGTGCCACAATGTCACCAAAAAAATGTACCTACACATTGAGATCACGCCACCCTAAATAGCCAGACACACACGAAACCTCATAGAATCGACATTGTAAAGACACCAGCCTCTAACCAGCTACCCAGCATAGCCATACAAAAGCATAACAAGTTGTCTGACTGACAGTGTTTAGCCCAGCTCAGAGAGAAACCAACTAAGCACTGATTCTTCTACATCTAGCGTTAAAGGAACACTATAGTCACCTAAATTACTTTAGCTAAATAAAGCAGTTTTAGTGTATAGATCATTCCCCTGCAATTTCACTGCTCAATTCACTGTCATTTAGGAGTTAAATCACTTTGTTTCTGTTAATGCAGCCCTAGCCACACCTCCCCTGGCTATAATTGACAGAGCCTGCATGAAAAAAAAAACTGGTTTCACTTTCAAACAGATGTAATTTACCTTAAATAATTGTATCTCAATCTCTAAATTGAACTTTAATCACATACAGGAGGCTCTTGCAGGGTCTAGCAAGCTATTAACATAGCAGGGGATAAGAAAATCTTAATTAAACAGAACTTGCAATAAAGAAAGCCTAAATAGGGCTCTCTTTACAGGAAGTGTTTATGGAAGGCTGTGCAAGTCACATGCAGGGAGGTGTGACTAGGGTTCATAAACAAAGGGATTTAACTCCTAAATGGCAGTGAGGCTGCAGGGGCATGTTCTATTCACCAAAACTGCTTCATTAAGCTAAAGTTGTTCAGGTGACTATAGTGTCCCTTTAACTATATAAAACAAAAGACATCCCTGCATACTTACCCTATTAACACAAAAAAGTGCACTGTATTTATTTAATGCCATATGTTTAAAAGCAAAATGTATATCTGGACGTGCCAGCTGCTGTGGCAGAGCTACTCCACATGTTCAACACATGCACGAACAAAATAAAGAATGAAAAAAAAAATGTACCTAATTGTATTTTTACCAATATCTTACCTATGCAACAGTTCGATAATTTATTGGTAATCATATTGATTTAAACCATTCAGGACAAGACATTTGGTAAATAGTGCTAAATAGAATGCAATTATTATTGTTCCATTTTTTTCATATTGCTGTAGAGTACAAAGCTGTATATAAGGGTATATAGGACACAAAAGTGCCCTATTTACATTAAAAAACCAAAATGGTTATAGGGGTAATGAGGAGCCCCATAACCATTTTGTTTTTTTCAATAGGCGTTTCACTCTTATGTTGTATTAAGGTTGTGGGTTACCCCCCGTTCGAGGTCCTTTTAGCACACCACTCAGTAAATATGTGTATGTACTTTGGATTCTGCTAACAAGTACATGTGTTTTAAAATATTTAAAATATTGTGCTTGCTGCACAATAATAATGAATATAATTAATGCTCTTCCATTATTCAACCACCTAAGCAGCCAGTCAGCAATCACAAGTCAGCCAACCAGCAACTATCAATCAGCCGCAATGCAACTAGCCAGCAAATAGAGCTGGATATCCCTTTTGGTAAAGTAGGTACCTGCCTAAAGGTACCCTTCTTAAAAGGGCAAATGTCTAGACACTAGAGATATTTCTTTAAATAATAATATTTAATTATCTGAGTTTTGAGCTTCCAGGATTTGTTTGCAAACGTAATGCGGACGAAGTGCCTGCAGCAAACATAGTAATTTGGTCATGGTCTCTAATTCTGCAATTAGTACATTAATCCCAGATATTTACAATTAATAAAATAAGATGGGCTCTGATAGACTCTCGTAATGGTTTGGGCATGTATGGTTGATTCCTTTCCTTTGGACCAGCATTTCCCAAACCAGTCCTCAAGACCCACCAACAGTCCAGGTTTTGTTAGTATCTCCATTGGAATAAAACAGGGATATACATAAATCCCGAACTGTTGTTGGGCCATGAGGACTGGTTTGGGAACCACTGCTTTAGACATTGTCCACATCATCTCCCACACAATGTTCAGACTCTTCAGTTACTTTTGCTTCTATTTCTGTCCATTGAATGTGTTGGAGAGATTCTCCCGTTTTACTGAACGTGTGAAATATTATCACTATTATTATTTTTAAAGTGCCAACAAATTTTACAGTGCTGTGGGATAACAGACAAGTATACAAGTAACAAGACAAGTTGGCCACACATGAACAGCAGGTGACGATGGCCCTGCTAAAACAAGCTTAAGTTGATGTGTGAGTGGGAACAGTGTAATTCAGTGGGAATGGAGTGCAGGTTCCTCTTAGTCAACTAATTCTGCCAGATGATTCATTTGGCTTTGGAGTGGGTGACTCAACATTGCCATTTGTAGGTATTTAAAATAATTTTTAAAAAGCTGCAGAATTATTTTGAATGGCATTTTGTTTAACCCCTAAAGGACTTGCTCTAAAGGCCGGGGGTGGCATAGCACGTCCCAGCCGTCCTATGTACTTACCCGGTTGCCGGCGATCCCAAGCCGGCGATCGCGCTGTGGTGACTTACCTGGGAGCCCAGGGAGTTCCCCTCCTTCCTCTTCAGCCCCCCTGGGCCATGTGATCGCGAGGTCCTTGCGAGGACCTCGCAATCACATGGACGGCATGGCCGTCCAAGGCAGTGCCAGCAGGGGGAGTACCTGTAATGACAGGTACTCCCCCTGCTGTCTGAACTTTTTTTTTAAATTGTTTAAAACAGTGTAAAATTTAATTATATATACTTAGATCATATATATATATATATATATATATATATATAAATCCAATAGATCTTGCACTCCACCAATTCCAAATTAAATGCCCGGTGCTTGTCAGCCAAAAATATAAAAATAGTTGTCAATGATAGCACTCCAAGGACTATAAATAAAATTTAACTTTTATTACCTCCACTAAAACAGTACAGTCAACGTTTCTGCTTGATCCCCTCAAGCTTTCGTCCTGACGACTATATATATATATATATATATATATATAGTGAATAGTGATCAGCACTCTCGGGCTTTAGAAGGTTAAAACTCACAGTTTATTGAAAATCCATTAAAAGATCAACTTTTCAGTTCCATCTGGAACTTTCATCAGGATCAGGATCAGATATGGGGTTCTTCTAACCAAAGAGGATTTAAGATGGCTTACGTAAAGCAAAGGTAAGCCAGGACATACACTGAACAAAGTAGGGATTATAAAATAATGTGCAGGGGCTATAATTCATATAGCCTCTCATTTTAAAGGAACACTCTAAGCAGAATAGCCACTACCATACACCTTTATGGTTATTATGCCAGCAATGCCCTGCCACTCACCCAATGTAAGTAGTCAAACCATAATAGTATGGTTTGACTGGGATCCATGTTAGTTGACAAACTGTGCTAAAACACTTTACGATCTTACCTTGGGAATGCATCAAACCACACCCAGCGCTATAACCACTACAGAAGGCTGTAAGAATTATTACGCTTGGAGTGTTCCTTTAACAATGAGTCTTCAAACTAAAAAAAAAAAAAAACATTTGGATAGCGCTGGTATTGCTACTACACCTAATGGTTTTTATTTTCTACAGTGACATTATTTTATAAGGTAATGCAAGCATTACACTGGAAAATTCAGAGACAAGAGTTCATAACAGACAATAGATCATATGAAAGCAAGTCAGCAATTTAGTTTTGCTTGTTTAGAAATGAAGATAAGGAAAAAAAATTGTCTAAAAAATGGCTGCTATCCCTATACACTGTTGATGAGCTATATGGAAAATAGCCAGGATTTATTTGAATCAAACGAGTGTTGAATATTTTTGTTTAAAAAAAATGTCAGATGCCTTACGTCAGACCCAGTCACTGCTCTATTTTCAAGCCTGAACACATTGTATGCTGACAACCAGACAACACCACCCCTCGAGCAGGATTGGGCACGGTGAACTGAAAACAAAATTGAGAATGCAGACAAATAATACAGTTTATGGGAGGGCCCAGTTTTACTAATTCAATGACTTCAGAGGAAATTTGAAATATTCCAAACCTATATTTGATGTTATGTCAGAGATCCCTGGCATTTCAGATGTTTATAAACTTCTTGCTTATAATTTTCCAATCATGGTAAACTAACCACAAAGCCGAGCATAATGAGAGTGTAACTAAAGCTAGTGATACACAGTTGTCATTATCAGGCCATAGTATTACTCAATATCGAGCAACAATTATATTAATTAATGGGAAACTGTCAGTTCTTTCGAAAATATACAACTAAATAAAATCTAGAAGATGATTTATAATTAATCAGTAGTTATCCTTCTCTGTATGCTTTGTTTTAGCTGATTACGGGGTGCAAAGGACAGAGCTTATAACAATAACTGACAGCGAGGGAGCCACCCAGATATATGATAAAGAGTCATTAATTTCTAGGTTTTATATATTTCTCACACTTATAAATAATCAGTTGTTAATACAAGGCATAAGTAAATAAAATATTGTTTTTTAACATAAAGAAGTAACAGTTCTGAAGAGTCGAAAAGTAGTGGAATACACTTATGATTGTTAAAATTCAACCATTTTAACCAAATTCAACCCATTCTTCTAGTTAAGATTTTTCATCTAAATTTGCAGCTCAGTTATCTGTTAAAATGAGTTTCATTTTCACATGCTTGCTAATTCAACTATTCGCACACAGTTGATGCAATGGACAGTTGTAGAAACCCATTCAGCTCAATGCAGTTTCAGTTGATTTGATAGTAAATAAAGTGAACTTCCGATAATTGTATCAGCCTTTTATTATTAACATGTGTGTTTTTATTTGTAAATCATGGATTCCATTAATTTAAGTACTTCTTTAATGTATTTCACTTTACAGATACCATAGAGTAGGGTACCTATTAATGTAACATGCACATCAAGTCGAAAATCTACATGTGGGGAAACTGATACTATGTAGAGTTCAGTGTACATTTGATGTATTCAGTATATAGTGGAATGATTGGTCAAACTTTTAGATTTGGAATACTGCCCCTCTTCAACGTTTAATAAAGAGAAGTCTAATGTACCAAACCCCACCCTCCATGTATCCCAAAGCGTTATTCAGTTTATTTTCCCACCTCTTTGTTCTCTATGGTTTAAATGTTATTTTTTTTCAGAGTCTTCTGAGTTCACTCCTAAGTCTTCGTTTCGAACTGTTGGTGATAACTAACAGAGAGGGAAGCACCCATTGATTTAAGTGGTTATGGTGCCTGGAGTCTTTGGACATCTTATCCCACATCAGTTTACTCACTGCAGCCCTAGCCAGCAATAATGAAATGGCAGAGGTTATGTAAAGGGAAATGCTAGTCTGTCAACGTCAGTTCTGTGCTTTCAGCTAGTCATTTTCCTAATTAATCCCTGGCATGAATTGATATGGAATAATTGGTCACTGGCTGCAGGCTGCCAGGGACCGAGCACCTCTGTTAAATGGTGAGCAAATTGTTTAGTAGTGATGCAGGACCTGGTGGCCCCGGACTTCAGGCACCAGAATCAGTGTTCCTGCAAGGAATATCAGTCTGCAACTTTACTGAATGGGGTGTCACATGAGCAGTCTTACTCTCATCTGATTTAGGCCTTCAACTTGAGAATGTGGACTTCTGACAATGCTCAGTATTCTAACTGATTCAACACAAAAGAGCTCTCTTTGTCAAAATAGTGAAAAAATGTGTGGCCCGTGAGATTCTCATCTATGGAAAGGACAGAGCGGGGATAACCCTGAACATTCTGTGTTCATGTAAAACAAGGAATAAAATAGGGTTCTCAAACTCTATCCCCATCGCACCCCACCTGATAGCCTACATCTTCCAGAAATCAATATATGGCCAGAGGATTGTAGGTTTTGTAGTTCTAGGGCTAGGAAATGGGCAGCAGTAAAAAGGAGTCCCAAAGCTATAAAGTAGCTTGATTGCTCACAAAACAAGGCAGTGGGGAAAAAAAGGATACGTGTTTTCTTTACTAGATTAGCTTGTTCAAATAAACATGATGCAGCTAGTTACAACCTTTTGTTTGTCTGGCTTTCCAAAAATGCTAGTCAAAACACTCCTGCCTAGTTTTGGGTTTTGAATATGCCCAAATATTTTAACAAAGTTGGTTTTTACTTCACAATTCAGTTTCAGATCAATGGGATCTCTAATTACTTTACTTTACTTTACCTGTGAGCATTCTATTATGTAGACACAAACTTGTTGATAAATAAAATCTGCTGCACAGGAAGTGTAGCAGTAAAAATCCAGGAGCTAGTGAATATTAAAGGATTATTTTGCAGGATATGATATTATTGTTGCAAGAAATAAAATTAATATGAAAATTCAAATGTGTGTGTATATACACAAACCATATATGTATGGCAGAATTACCTCATAACCCAGGAAACAGAATTCTGGGAAAAGAGTAATATGTGCCAAATTATATACTTTCACTCACTAACTTAGATGAAAGCTGCAAAGGTTTAGAAATAAATGAATAAACTATCACCTTACACAATGTGATAAAAAAGTGTCTATAGTTGGGCAAAGAGCCAGTACATAGAGCTGGCTGCCCTAAGCAATGAATAGAATGTATCGCCAAAAAATCGGTTAAAAAGTAACAAAGATTTATTGTAGCATAAAAATATATAAAAATATTTATGCAACAATAAATCTTTGTTACTTTTTAACCGATTTTTTGGCGATACATTCTATTCATTGCTTAGGGCAGCCAGCTCTATGTACTGGCTCTTTGCCCAACTATAGACACTTTTTTATCACATTGTGTAAGGTGATAGTTTATTCATTTATTTCTAAACCTTTGCAGCTTTCATCTAAGTTAGTGAGTGAAAGTATATAATTTGGCACATATTACTCTTTTCCCAGAATTCTGTTTCCTGGGTTATGAGGTAATTCTGCCATACATATATGGTTTGTGTATATACACACACATTTGAATTTTCATATTAATTTTATTTCTTGCAACAATAATATCATATCCTGCAAAATAATCCTTTAACATTCACTAGCTCCTGGATTTTTACTGCTACACTTCCTGTGCAGCAGATTTTATTTATTCTGTTTTTAATAGGTTTTTTGGTGGATCCCTATATTTATCCAGTTTTAGAGCTTCCCTTTGTTAGGTCTTTTTCCCTCTATCTCTCTATACAAATTTTTGTAAGAGAACTTTAACAAATTTGTTGATATATTAACAATGTAAAGACAATAAAAATGTTGCTGTTATATAACTTTAAAACGTGATCTTTAGTCCGATAGTTTTAATGTATATATTAGTAGAGGAATAATAAGAAATCCTTTGACAGACTGGTTTTGTCTTTAGATATCACAACCCATAGTTAACATTTAGTTAACTAATGTGCTGCAATCATTTTACAAGAGAGAGATCAATTTTTATATGTTAACATGATAGTCCATAACTTTTGTAGATAGAACTGTCACAGTTATAAACACTAGAGTCTGATTTAAAAAATGGGCAATATTTGGGACTGTACACTAATAAGAACATTGCATTAGGTGGGGAACAATAGTGTGCAAATACATTTTCTTTGAATAAGGTCCCCAGTATCAATGTCACATCTGCTCCATATTTTACAACTAAAACAAATCACAGCTAAAAACCATTCACTTACATTTTTTTTGGCACCGGGATAGAGTCCTTCAAACTGTCCAATCTGCCTCCTTACTCTGACTCCTCGTCAGACACTTTGCTGAGTTCTCGTCCAATCAAATGCTTCTCAAAAAGAAATATTCTGATCCAAAAGCTCATGCATAAGGCACATTCCCCGCACACCTCAAATCAAATTATTTTCATGCAATGCTTCTCTATGAGATGCAACAGAGGATGCATGATGTCCTCATGCAATGTGTGAAACAATGAATGCCAATTACAAAGTCTGACTCGATTCACACTGTGGAGCACCACATGGTGGCTCTCAGAGTAACCGCCATTGGATGTGTGTTGAGCCCCGCAATGTAAGCATTGCCGTATCTCCAAAATGACAATGTTTTATATTGTGAGAACAAACTTCCAGGGGCAATGCAAATAGACCACTTCATTGAGATGTATCTTTAAAGACTTTCCTATAAGCATCACCACAAATCCAACAAGTCCTACCTATGGGTAAATCAAGATTCCATTCACACTTCTAAGAACATATACAGTTGTGCTGAAATGTTTGCATACACTTGGAGAATTGGTATTACATGTACCATTTTTAAAGAAAACATGAGTGAGCAGGCAAAACACATTTATTTTATTTCTTATGGGATTCATATTTAACTGTTGGTTGTAAAAGAATGGTACCTTTAATTGCAATTTTTAACTTGTGTGTATCGCCTTGTGTGTCTGTAACAAGGCCAAACATTCAAGGGTATATACATTTTTAATCAGGGCCATTTGGGTGACTTCAGCTACAACTACAACTATGTGATAATAAATGGCTCCATATGATCACTATCCTTCAATATTAGAGATTTATTTTTGCATGATCAGTCATATTTTCAAAATCAATGTCAAAATGTCACAATTTTTGCCAGGGTATGCAAACTTTTGAGCACAACTGAATACATATATAAATAAATATGAATGCAAGAGTACTCACACTACATTATTAGCTTTCAATGTATGGATGATCAACAACAAAACAGTTATGCACATAGTAAGTTATTGCTCCTGCATTACTCCACGCATTGCTGACTCAGGATAGCCCTTAAAATTGTTGTGGGGTCCAGTGAAGGCAGCTGTGATCAACAGCTGTTGGAGCACAGGGCATTACTAGAGCATTTGGCAATTGGGACAGATCCGACATTTGAAATTGTAAGGAAGAGCCACAATAACTGAAACAAAATAAAAGAAAGACACAGCTGTGTGGCATACCTCAGTGTGCATACATGATACCTACGTAATATACTAATACAGAAAAAAAAAACACTTGTAGAAATGCGCATGTTTTTAATGTGTGAAGAAAACATGGAAACTGGTGCAGCGTCAGCATTCCAGGTAAAATCCCAACATAGATCCCACAGTAATACAGAGAATATAAAAATAAGAGGTGCACAAAAAACAAACTACACGTTAAAGGGAAACTATAGTGTCAGGAAAACAAATGTTTTCCTGGCACTTTAACTTCCCCATTTGCCAAGGTCCCTCCCCCCCCATGGTGCAGAAGGCGTTAATAACCCCTTATGTCACTTACCTGCATCCAGGGCCAATGACACTTGGTGCTGGCTCAGCTTGCATTAGGATTTCCCCATAGGAAAACATTGTTCAGTGCTTTCCTATGGGGATCCAGTGACGCTGGAAGTCCTCAGGCATAGCGTGAACGCGTCCAGCGTCGTTTAGCCGACCAAAAGTCGCCTTCAAGCCTGGAAGTATCTCTAGTGGCTGTCTGGTAGACAGTCGCTAGATGAGACGTTAACCCTAGCAGGTCATTATTGCAGTTTATAAAACAATAATTACCACTCTAAGGTGATGGGTGATGGGAGCTTGCACTTAGATCACTTCAATGAGCTGAAGTGGTCTGGGTGACTACAGTGTCCCTTTAACTACAAGATAAAATTATATATAAATGTATTCTCACAAAATAATGCAAGAGTAAGAAAATAATTGCACAGAATATAAGTAGCGACAGGGGAGCTTAAAAAAATTATTCTATGAACCTGCTGCTATAAAAGGGAATAATTTGTAGTACTTACCAAATGATTAAGATCAGCAGACAACAGAACTCTAACTCTTCGGCTGTAACACAGGAACCTCATCCCCAACAGAGACACAGATTTGTGCTGCCTCTTATTTGCGAAGCGGTCAAATCCTACAGACCATGCCATCCTCAACAGCCCAGTTCAATGGCACCCCACCTCAGTGGCACCCAACCTAATGAGTGGCACCCCATAATGAGCGACACCCAGGGTGGATCGTCCCCCCATTAGTACGCCACTTGTGGTTGGAGTTTTTTGAAACTACAGATCAATTTTCTAAAGATGTAAAGGATTCTGCTTTAACGTTTGACACATGCCTGTTTCCATAACGTGCATTATGGGAAAAGGATGCAGTTCAATGTCCTACATAAGTGTTATTTATTTTATAACAATTTCATGAATATTAAGATATGTAATATTAAACAAAATTACAAATAGGGCATTAATTATAAGTAAAAGTAATAATAACCAGATGATTATACAGATATTTGCTGCTTGAGAGAGACAGGCAGGAAGAGGCATTTTAAAAGCCAGGATACAATCATGAATTTGTTACAAAGACTTGGAGAAGTAATTTACATAGCTTGATCATTTATCACTATAGAAACACATGCTTACATGAAATACAGAATGAGGCGACTTTAAACATTCTATGCACGTTACAGTGTTCATTACAACGTTTACTACACATAGCTTCTAGAAACAGCTATTAAATACATTCCTAAAAATACAGATGTGTAGACTTCTCAGTGTATTTCACAAACAGATCTTAAAAGACATGATACATAAACAATGTAAATCTGAGTCCTCTCTGAACTAAAGATTCACAGTGAGTAAGGGGGGTGGAGGCTAAGCCTGTAGTTGTGGTTGCACCAAAAACTGGATTCCAACTGCTTTGGAAGTAAGAAAACTAAATTTAAAGAATACTGTTAGAGCTAAAATAATCTCGGGAGTCACTGTCTAGAAAATCTAACAATAAAGACAGTTTAGAGACTGATAAAAAGTAATGTTTCCCATAGACAGACAGATAGATAAGGACAAACACTGACCTTTATTCTGCTCTGAGGTTCACCAGCAGTCTGTGTACTTGCTTGCTATTACTAATACTTTTTAACCTCATTCTAGTCTGAAGGCGCTCTGTAAAATCTCTCTGCACATCCTGTCACAGTGATGAGGTGTGTGTGGTAATCCAGTTGTTGAGCCAAGAGCTGTAACTTTGTATCTACTTGTCTGACGCTCAATTTAAATAGGTTTCAACTAAGCCACGCCTCCCAAACGTTGAGAATCTTTTTTTTTTTTTTTTGTCCTCACTCAGTACAGCAACTACTGTAGTCTGAGAGGCATGAGGAGCAAGAACGACATCTGTTTAAAATAAGGTCAGTGTCTTTTGATTTAATTCTCTTTGCTGCAAGTACAAAACATTAGAATCTAATGCATCTAATGAATGAAACCTTTTTTTTTTTTTTTGTCATACTGAAAGCTGATGCATATTTGCTCACACTGTTCTGTGTGTACTTTTAAAATATCGTTTCAATAATCAATGTTGTAATATCTGCAATATTTTGTTTGTCACATGGGTGGCCAAAAATGAACTTTGCCTCCTGGGAGTTGCGGTTTTGCCACACATAATGATTGAATTTTTGGCCACTCTAGATCACAGCTCATATTTTTTTCAGATGCAGGTTAAATTTTGCAGCAGACAAACGTCTCTTGATTGTCCTTGCCAAAAAGCTTTTAAAAAAAAAACCTTTCAATAGCCTCTTGTGATCCATTTCATGGTTTCTCTTCTGAGAGTCTTTGTATTCACTTTATTTCAAGTTATGTTATAGCTGAATACTTCTTGAAGCATACTTAGCCATTTGCAAACTGAAATATAATGACATAAAATGTAAGACTGTGATTTCCTAAAATAAATAGTGTGTATAGAAATACACTTGTGCACCTGATTGTTTGGTTTTTTTTGGTTGTTAAAAAGTAATACATAAAAAGTTATCTTTCTTACTCCAGTCTATATTCTTAATAGTATTGACACAATTTATTCTTCAAAGTTATAAGCAAATAAGAAAAATGCTTTAGTTATCTTGAATCAAATGATATGTACTTACAGTGTGACTTTCAATCTGTTGATTAAAATCATAGATTACTTGAACAGTGATTTAATAAAGAATTTGCTTAATTTAACCCCTTAAGGACAGAGGCAAATATTTGTTTTAATATGGGGAATAGATGCCACAATGAGTGGATAAAAAAGTTAATGCACAACTTAATTTGTATAAAACGTTCAAATTTATCCATAACAATGCCTCGTTTGTTACACAATGATTTGTACAATCTGTTGTACAGTAAAAAAACTCAAATAAAGGAAAAATTATATATGGGGGGAAAAAAAGCTACATAGTCATATAACATATTACTTGCTAAACTTATATCGTTATACCTTCCTCTCCTAAGAAGATTAAATAACATAAAGCAACATGCAATGACACAATAACACCTGTAGCATTTGTTTCCTACAAATATATATACAAAATTTCCTGCACTATAAGTCTACTCAATCATAATTTACCTTTTTAATATTTGAATATTACGTGCACCCACACCTATTATATATCATTTTGTTCATATCAAACATTCATATATGAAACAATTCAATATGAATAAAATCTAAAAACAATGTGGTAAATTTAATTTTTTTGTTATTTTTCAAGTTTTGCATGACATTTTAACTGTGAATGTCATAATACTGTTAGCTTTTCCTGCAATAAAATACACATATTTGTGTTCAGTGATGTCTCACAAGTACATCAGTACCCATCATGTATGTATAATATGGGGCTTTAGAACATTACATGCTTAAATATAGAGATTTGCACTTTTTTCAGTTTTTTTAAATTTTGCCTTTGAGAACGTATAGTAACCCAAGAATGAAAATTACTCCCATCATGGGATACCATTTGAAAAAGTAGACTTTCTGGGCTGACAGACAGTCCCCACACGCAGATCGCCTGGTACGTTAGAATCTCCTGGGCTGAAAGCCGTCCTATGATGCCGCAATGACCTTACAGCCTATTAAAATGTGGACAGCATAGAAGGCTGTAACGGTGTTAATGGGCTAAACCAGTATAGAATTGGGATAGAAATCTCCAGCTCAGTCAAATGAGAATTTTTTATTTATTTTAAATAATTGGTTGTAAATTCACCAGAGGAGGCTGGTTGAGTTTTTCTTTTGTTTTTGCAAAAATAAGCACATATGTGGAATCTGTTAGCATTGTAAGGACCAAGGGTGGTGATAAGTGTGTGTTAGAAATATCAGTGGTCAATAGTGATGTCCCGAATGGTTTGCCACGGATGGCGAACATATGCGCTGTTCGGTCCGCCCCCTATTCGTCATCATTGAGTAAACTTTGACCCTGTACCTCACAGTCAGCAGACACATTCAGCCAATCAGCAGCAGACCCTCCCTCCCAGACCCTCCCACCTCCTGGACAGCTCACTAAGAATGCAGCTTCACAATGAATGTAAAATGGATGCTGTCCAGGAGGTGGGAGGGTCTGCGAGGGAGGGTCTGCTGCTGATTGGCTGGAATGTGTCTGTTGACTGTGAGGTACAGGGTCAAAGTTTACTCAATGATGACATAGGGGGCGAACCGAACAGCGCATATGTTCGCAGTCCGTGGCGAACCGTTCGGCGAACTGTTCGGCGAACCGTTCAGGACATCACTAGTGGTCAACATAGCAAGAAACTGGAAGCTGAGAGCTAAGGGGAGAACCTCTTTTGTTGATGCTTCAATCCTCCCTCCAGTCAACGAGGAACTACAAAGAGATGGCTCATAGACCAGCTAACGCTACAAAAAAAATGTATACGTGTTTGGCAATAATAGGACTATTATTACAAGTCTAATGTTCAAACAATAGACAAAACCCCGTAGGACCTTAACACACTCACCACCCCTTTAAACTGCGTTCTTTGTTTTCTTTTAGTGTAATGTACTATGGTTACTGCATGAATATAGGTGATATTCTCCATGTTGTATTGTGTTGCAGACTAACTGTAAGTCGCATATTTGTTTCAATACTATGTCAATATGGCAAATAAATGCCACAATGAGTGGATAGAAAAGTTAATGCACAACTTAATTTGTATACAACTTTCAGATGTATACATAACTATGCCTCATTGTACGCAAACATCTGTACAATCTGGTGTACCGTGAAAACCTGAAATGAAGTAAAAATTATACATGGAAAAAAAACAACTACATAGTCACATAAGATATTACTTGCTATACTTATATTGTTACACCTTCCTCTCCTAAGAAGATGAAATAATATGGAACAACATGCAATAGGACAAATATATATATATATATATATATATATATATATACACTATTCAGTCTGACATAGCTATATTAACATGATTTGATCAGTCTTTCTGAACTTTTTCTTTGACATTTAGACCATCTTTGATATCAGTTTCTGGCTCAGTCTCAGTGTTGCTATTTAGCACTCCATCTGATTTACCATTAGAACACTTCTGGTTCTTTTAGAATCTTTTTAGAATATCTCCTATTCTATTTAAGAATCCCCCCATCCTCTTTTTAAATTGTGTAAGATCTTGGTTGCACTTGTTCATCTATAGAACCCTTCTAAAACATTGTCCTTGATTTTCACATTGTCTCCAAAAGGTAATTCAGGTAGATGTTTAGTTCTTGAGTCAAATTATACCTTCTTCCTCTCTTTCTGATTTCTCTAAACTGTTTCACTTGTGCACCATTCCCTATCACGAGAAGATCTTCCTTCATAGGCAAATTAGAACTCAGACATCTTGCCAAAAAAAAATCTAAGCTGCCCACCCGCCATGCTACCCCTCTACTGCCTGTCGCGCCAAGACCATGCCTCAGTGGCATTATGGCAACTCCAGTCCTATACCCCTTGACTAAGACATTCAGCTGTCTGTTCAGCTCCCTAAGATGATTCTACAGTTCAGTGTAAGGGAGAGGCACGGGAGTGCAGAGAGGCAGGCATAAGTGAGCAGGGGGCAGTATCTGAGCAGGCAGGGCCGTTTGAAGACATTGTGCTGTCTAATTCCAAGGATGAAATGGTGCCACCCCCACCCCTGCCACCACATCCAAGTGACCCAACCACACCAACATCCATTATGTTATCAGTATGTGTAGATCATTCCATTCCAGTAACATATATAGAGCAATGCACACTAAATTAGATGTCACAACACATATCCTTCTTCAATGATATTAAAGTATTCGCTAAGTACAAAATACGTCAATCACTTACAATAAAAAACTAAAAAGTGGTAAGTGAAATTGTCATATGGGATGTATGCCTTTAGATACCTCTACCAGGTCCATCTATACTTTTTTATATGGGTTGTTTATTTATAGGGAAGCTTATAGACATTGTATAATGCAGAGCTGTATGGAATGCAATGCTTCCCTGCATAAGGCATCTTGTAATATTGCTGTGTGTTCACCATACTCACAGACTGCATGCAGAACAGGTGTCATATTAGCTCTGACTCACCGATTGCCAGCGAGCATTTATCTTTAATAGCCTTGTATTTTTTCCCAGAAGCGTCTTTCTGCACTATCTTCAGGCTGTCTTAAATGGCTAAATTCAGGTCTGCCATCAGAAATTTTGGGGCACCTTACACAGCACACGGTCTGGGGCCTGCACCCATGTCTGCAAACAAGGATACACTATGTGTGTTTAGAGTGGATATTGTGTGTGTAAAGTGGATGCAGAGTGTGCGTGAGTTGATTGTAACGGAACTCTCGTATCCAGACTTGTTACCACCTCTAGGCAGGGGCATACCTGGAGCATTTGGCACCCGGGGCAGATCCTATATTTGGCACCCCCCTTTCCCCTCCCCCTTAATTTTTATTTTTTTTAAAAAAACACCCGCAATTCTTTTTTAATGTCTTTAGCACTGAGCAGTGTTTATTTTTATTTTTATGTATTTAGGACCAAGCACTGTTTGTGTGTTTGAATGTAATCATGTTTTTGTATGGAGTATGTGTGAGTGAATGTACGGGTGTGTTTGCACGTATTGATGGTGATTGCTAGAGGAACAGGGGTGATTGTGAGGGGGGGTTGTGAGAGGGAGGGAGGGTGATTGTGAGAGGGGGTGATTGTGAGAGGAGGG